GGCCCCGTTTACGGCCTGCGCCAGGCACCTCGAGACTAGCACGATACTCTTTGTGCTACGTTAGCTGACCTACAGTTCTTTCCGTTTGTTGCAGACCCGTCGCTCTTTGTTCGTTCAGGCCAGACCCCGTTCTACATCCTTGTCTACGTAGACGACCTGGTCTTCGCCACAGCAGACACGGACGCACTGGCCTCTGTGAAGGCCGAGCTGCTGAGGAGACACACTTGCACTGACCTAGGAGAGCCGCGCCGCTACCTTGGCCTGCAGATCTCCAGGGACAGAGCAGCGCGCACCATCAGTCTCACGCAGTCACACTTGGTGCGCTAGGTCCTTCAAAGGTTCGGTCTTCAGTTCTCTTCTCCATAGCCCACACCGCTGCAAGTAGACAACAGGCTCTCGGCTCTAGTCTTTGAGGAGTCAGTAGATCGTAGTGGTCCGTACGCAGAGCTAGTGGGTTGCCTCGTGTACCTGATGACTTGCACACGTCCAGATCTCGCATACCCTCTCAGCATCCTCGCTCGCCTTGTGGCCAGAGGCAGACACTGACTGCAGCATTGGTCGGTCGCTAAGAGGGTTTTGCGTTATCTAGCAAGTACATCAGGCATGGGGCTAGTGCTAGGAGGACGCAAGCCAGTGGTCCTTACTGGGTACACAGATGCTTCGTGGGCAGACGACGCTGAGACGCTCAGGTCCTCCCAGGGCTACTTCTTTAGCCTTGGTTTGGGTGCCATCTCGTGGAGGTCCACTTGCTCATCGTCGGTTGCCCAGTCTAGCTGTGAGGCTGGGTTCTACGCCGATGCCATGGCAGCACAGGAGCTCCGTTGGCTGACTTTCTTGCTCACTGACTTAGGTGGGCGGCCTAGCTCTGCCCCGGTCCTGTACGCTGACAACAGGGCCATGATCCTCCTGTGTTAGGAGCCTCAACTGGAGGGCAGTGCGAAGCATATCCAGCTGCGGTACTTCCTCCTGCACGAGCTACAGCAGCGCCGCCTGGCCCGCATAGTACACATGGCCTCCGGTGCCAACACAGCTGATATCTTTACGAAGGCGCTTACGCCTAAAGATCATCAGCGGCACTGTGTACAAGTTGGTTTCGTTCCTGTAGCTGCTCACTTGCAAGGACCTTAATTATATAGTACTTCTTCTATTATCTTGACTGGCCTTGTGGCCCTTGTTCCAATGGCTGGACTAGTAGTGCCGCCCTGGGTTGCTTCAGTATCGTTTGTACTCTTGCTGACTGGTTTTCGGACCCTTGCCTTAGAGGTTGGACTAGTAGTGCCACCCTGAGCTGAGTGTCTCTTGCCAGGCACTTCCCCTCATCTAGCCTATGGGGTATGTCAAACATATATTGATATGCTATAGGCTAGATAGGTGCAGTCCTATAGAGAGCACAATCCCTTAGACAAAACTACCTTGTACCTATCATTCTATTCAATCTGTTACTCTAAGACTAGTTTGTGGTCAAAGGAGAGGGCGAAGGTTGATGAGCTCGTTAGAGTGTCTTTTGAAGGGCTTTCCCTACAAGGAGATGAAGCAGTCGGATGCTAAATATAAGTACCCTGAACTACGACACGTCTGGTGTGTCGATGGAAGCGGGCCAGGTGCAACAGTTAGCCAACCACGGGAGAGTGCTCCAGGTCTCGCCGTAGCGAGTGGCACTATGGAGGGAGGGTTGGGTGATGGCACGTCTGTTGAGGTTATCGAGGTGGATATCAGCCCACTATGGGGATATGATGTGCACACGTTAAACGGCATTCGGTCGTCGACGGTGCCCTCGACCGTTTTGGTGCAAGCATGGATTGGAGTCGAACTGCCGCAAGTGCCTCAAGGAGGGGATGCGAGTGGGCGGGCTCCTACAGACACTGCAGCGGGCTTGATAGGTGGGTTGCCTTGTGAATCAATCTTGCCTGGTTGTCCCCCTTTTTGCACCTTTGCGTTTGTTAAAACAACACACTTACCCTTTTCATTTGTTGAAATTGCAACCTACGTCCCGACCGACGCACATCCCACGAAGCTGCAGAGCCATGTCCGCCTAGGTCTGGGGAGCTGCAACCAGCATCCTCCATTGACAAACAGCGTGACGGCGGTGCGGCGGTAGGGGATGCAATGCCCCTTAGTGCCCTCATACCATCGTGGCGGAGGTGGGGCCCTCGGGGCACACGCCGGAGAACTGGCAGAGTGAAGGAGGTTGATGTGGCTGACCATTTGGGCGTCCATATCGCACACATTATGCTGCGATGTGGTGCACGGAAGAAAGCGAGAAATCCGATGACACCGGAAGAGGAGTCATTCGAGATCTGTATGGCAGGCGATCACTTTGCCGGCATTCATACTGGATGTGCACGGGCCGGGCTGAACCCGAGTTGTGTGACGGAGCATTGGGGTACAGAATAGGCGGTTTACCCTCCTGGGTCCGCGGCGCATGCGCGTGTCATTGAGTGGCTTTGGGAAAAAAATCACCGTCCAAGGTGGTGACCATAATCGATGGGGCTACAAGTTCGATGAACGAGTCGTTCCACTCAATCATCTTGATATACGCACTTAAGCGCTTCAAATTTCATAGGAGTTACCCGGCTAGAATTGCCGGTGCAGTGCGGCTGACGAGGAAACCGATGATGCTTCCCAGCCCGCGACTCGGCGTCGGCTTTGGTCGGAATCCCCGGCTACTGGCTCGACGCCATCAGCATCACCCACTTGAGTAAGTAGGATCCCCCCCCCACCTGCCGTATTCCCTCTACCCACTTCTTCTATTCCTGGTCAGTTCATCCCCTTATCTGCCATGCTCTTCCCGTATCTCCCATGCTGTCCCCTTATCTCCCATGCTCCCCCCTAATCTCCCATGCTCCCCCCTTATCTGCCATGTTCCCCCCTTATCTGCCATGCTCTCCCCTTATCTTCCATGTTCCCCCCTTATCTACCTTGCTCCCCCCTTATCTGCCATGCTCTCCCCATATCTTCCCTGCTCTCCCCTTATTTTCCATGCTCCCCCCTTATCTCTCATGTCCCCCCTTATCTTCCTTGCTCCCCCCTTATCTTCCATGCTCCCCCCTTATCTGGCATGCTCTCCCCTTATTTTCCATGCTCCCCCCTTATCTGCCATGTGATCCCCCAATATCCTTTGTGCCACATCTCCCCTCTGCCCCCCCCTCCTATCCTTCCCCCTGTTCCTCACGTATTCCTATGCTCTGGTTCCCTGCCCTCCTCCCTGTCCCTCACCTTTCCTCTGCTCCCGTTTCCTGTCCCCCCCCCCCACAGGAGGTGATACAACAGGGAGGGAGAGAGGCGGTACAGGATGGAAGGAGTGAGGTAGGAAAGCATTGCCCAGGGGAGCATGGGGCAATGAGCATGTGGTTTAGATGATGGCTAGAGGGTGATTGGGGAGTTTGATGTGGGTTGGAGGTGGGCGGGCAGTACCATCCTTGCACTTCCAACTGCACACTTACTGCCCTAGTGCTCACAGCCCTCGAACTCCTCGGGAACCTGGACTCGCCGCCGTTGCACTCAATTCCCATCTCCTCTCTTAATTTCCCCTCACTCCATCCCCCCCTATCCATTCCCCCATATCCATTCCCCTTCTCCTTCCCCCCTCTCCACCCGAGAGTCCATTCCCTCATCTCCATCACCCCCCTCTCCCGCCTCCTACTCTTTGTTCTCCAAGATTGGGGATCGTCTCTTTTTTCAGTAGACCAGCACCCATCCACCCATGCTCCACGCCTTAGACCACATACCATCCCCTCACCCCTTCACCATCGCCCCTCTCATCCACTCTGTCCCCATCCATCCCTTTTCAACCCCCCCCCCCCCCCCCCCCCCACCTCTCCAGCCGGCATCTCGTTTCGCCACTAGGCCCGGCTGTGGAACCGTATATTTGTGGGAGCAATGGTGACAATCTTGGCGCTAAGTAGGCAACTACTTGAGTCTGGCGCTCAGCTCTCCCAGTGCTGGGGCTTGAAGCACCACCGGTTTTGGCTACAATCAGGATTCATTTCCTCATATCACTCCCAATCCTTATCAGTCTATGGAGAAAGGTGGATGTGCCTTAGACTGTAGCGTAGGACAGTGAATAATTTTCATGATTCAGGGACCCCCTGGCTGACCCTACTGGGATCTAGGTGGTCAGATTGAGGATCTATGAGGATACATACCGTAATCCCCCGGATATAGGCGCATCCCTATATTTGGCTCATTGTGCTTATGGAGTGCAAGTGCGTTTATATCCGTTATTTCATTATATGCGCACCCACATTTTTGAAAATGTATTTCCAATAGGCACATCACTTTTTTTTTATAAACTTATATTCAACGGGGGATTTATATATCGGAGTTTCTGCTGTGCCCCTCACGAGCGCCTCCCTAACCAGAAGCATGAGTCTCGCTCACTATGTTGGCTCTGATTGGCTCGCGATTTCAGTCAATCCTGGGTGGATCTGGTGGCGGAAGCTTTTGTTAAATTATATATATATGTTATATAATTGTAGGCTTGGTAGGCGTTACTGAAACCTACAGTAGATGGTACAACCCCCCTCCTTGTATCCCTAGCTCTTCTATTCTCGATCTCTTTCCTCTCGCCATTTTCATGGCTTCCTACCGTTCCTAGCTACCTAGTCTCGTGACATGGTATCAGAGCAAGTTGCCCTTTCTGTCACAGGATCGAATGTCTCGAGGAAAGGTTGCACTATCGATCAGTACAAGGCACTTTATACTTCCAAAGTACATCAGGTAACCAGGTTTATCGTATCCCAAGGGAATAGACCCTTCTAGAAGATAGAATCAACCTGCTTATAGCCACGCGAGGCTATTGGCTTTAAGGGATTAGGGCAGGATTACGCTAGATATAGCGCACCAGTACATCCCGAGCCTGGTCGGTGATATAATGATAATAACAGGATAAACCAAAGGTTTATGGAAAAGGACAAATAGGAATCCAAATGGAATGAGATAAAAACCAAATGGATCAAGATGGAAAGAGGAATGAAATGGAAAGGAGGAAGAAATGGAACGGGGTCGTACTCTCACACTTCCCCCCCTCAAAGCTGGGTGGTAGACGTAACACCCTGCTTGACAAGGTAGTCGCGAAGAGGACGACGAGCATGATCCATCTCGGATTCAGAGACCCAACTATCCTCTGAAGGATCATAACCCTTCCAACGGATGAGAAGCTCCACGGTGCCATTCCGTCGACGGCGGTGAGCAAGCACGGACTCGACCTCGTACTCGGGTTCGTCATAGACGAGGACGGGCGGCGGCGGCGGCGGTTGGCGTCCAGAGAAGACCGTGTTGGGATCGCGGTATGGCTTCAAGAGTTGGACATGGAAGGTGTTGTGAATCTTCCAGGTAGCTGGCAGGCGTAAGCGAAAGGTAACAGGAGTGTCATGTGCTTCAACGAGAAAAGGTCCGCAGAAGCGAGGTCGCAGTTTGGATGGGAGATGGCTGCTGTCAAGATTGCGTGTATCGAGTAGTACTTGGTCTCCCACGGTAATGGTGTGGTCTGTGCGGTGGCGATCGGCTTGGCACTTCTGTTGTTGCTGAATGTCGAGAAGGCGCTTGTGGGTCCGATCCCAAAGTTTGTGCATGGGTGTGATGAAATGATGAGCGGGTTGGACTGTGGCTGGTATGGTTGGCTGTTGAGGTGTGAGTGGGTGGCGTCCGTAACAGTGGAAGAATGGCGTCTGTCCAGTAGCGGCGTGAGTAGCATTGTTGTTGGCAAACTCCAGGACGGGTAGATGCAAGTCCCATTTGGAGATGTCGTCCTTGCAGGCTGCACGGAGGAGTTGCTCCACAATTTGGCTGAGGCGCTCGGTTTGTCCATCTGTCTGCGGATGGTAGGCGGATGACATGGCGAGTTTGGTCCCGAGTAGAGACATCAGTTCTTTCCAGAATTTACTGGTGAACATAGGGTCTCGGTCGGAGATGAGTGTGGTCGGAATGCCATGTTGTGAGATGATGTAGCGAACAAAGAGTTGTTCTGTCTCCTCGGTGCGTGCTGTGGTGTGTGTCGTGATGAAGTGTTCCATTTTGGAGAACTTGTCAATGACGACGAGGATCGCGTCATGATCGCTCGTGGTAGTTGGTAGCCCGGTGATGAAGTCTAGGCTTACCACTTGCCATGGCTGTTCTGGGACAGGAAGAGGCTGTAGCAGGCCCGCCTTTTTCTGCTTGCTGCTCTTCATCCGCTGACATGTAGTGCACGAGGTGACGAATTTCTGTTCGTCATCTGCCATGTGGGGCCAGTAGTAGTGTTTGGCGATACCGGTGAGCGACTTGTTGCTACCGAATAGTCCCGCGTACAGGACGTCGTGGTGTTCTTTGAGTAGTAACTGGCGCAATGGAGGGTAATTTGGTACCCAGATCTTCATCGATCCTTTCCGGTACGCGTTGTCGTTGTCCCACTGTAGCAGATGTTGCTTTTCTGCTAAGGGAATTTCTAGGTCGATGGTATACCCGTGTAAACAGTCCCTTGAGGAGTGGATTCATCCCTTCAACTTGGATGGCAGCAACGTGTGTAGGCCGGCTAAGCGCGTCTGCTTTGTTTTTATGGCCGGGCTTGTACACGATGTCGTAGTGGAAGTGTGTCTCGAGGAAGTCAATCAAACGGACCTGCTGCCAGGAGAGGCTTGGTTGCGTCTTCAAATATTTTAGGCTGCAATGATCGGTGTAGACTGTCCTCTTGCGTCCTTCGAGATAACATCTCCATGTTTTGAAGGCGATGATGATAGCAAGGGCCTCCTTGTCGTGTATCGGGTAGTTGAGTTCCGCTCCATGTAATTTTTTGCTGAGGTAGGCAATTGGTTGCAGACCATTCCCCTAGTCTTGCATCAAGACTGCTCCCACTGCCTGGTCGCTGGCGTCAGCTTCGATGACGTAACCGCGTTCGGGGTCTGGCAAGATGAGTACAGGTGCGGACGTGAGTGCTTGTTTCAGCTGCTCCACGGCTTCCTGGTGTTGTAGCTCCCATTTATAGGGCGTGTTCTTCTTTAGCAGATTCGTGAGTGGCGTTGCTGTGAGAGTACGACCCTGTTACACCACTTGTCCCTTTTCTTATTTCCTTCCTCTTCACTTCTCTTTTTATCCCATCTTATTTGATTTCCTATTCTCCATTTTCCATTAAACCTTTGGTTTATCCTGCTATTATAATTATGTCACCGACCAGGCTTGGGATCTACTGGTGCGCTATCTGGCGTAATCCTGCCGTAATCCCTTAAAGCCAATAGCCTCGCGTGGCTATACGCAGGGTGATTCTATCTTCTAGAAGGGTCTATTCCCTTAGGATAAGATCAACCTGGTTACCTGATGTACTTTGGAAGTATAAAAGCGCCTTGTACTGATCGATAGTGCAACCTTTCCTCGAGTCCTTCGATCCTGTGACACTGGCGATCTTCGCGTATTGTGGCACGAACCTGTTGTAGCAGTTAGCAAAGCCAAGGAACTGCTGTAACTCCTTCACGTTCTCGGGTGTCTTCCACGTACGCACGGCTTCGATTTTCTTGGGGTCGACGTGAAGTCCTTGAGCGCTTACAATATGTCAGAGGAATTGGACCTTCTCAAGGGCAAAGTCACTCTTGGATAGTTTGACGTAGAACCGTTCTTGTCGACGAATTTCGAAGACGTGTCGTAGGTGCTCGACGTGTTGTTGCATGTCGCGCGAGTAGATCAGGATGTCGTCCAGGTACACCACCACACATTCATCCAAGAGTGGGCATAGGATATGGTTCATCTCTGCTTGGAAAGTTGCAGGTGCGTTGGTGAGTCCGAACTGCATGACCAGATACTCGTACGATCCGTACCGAGTTCGGAAAGCAGTTTTGTGAACGGAATCGTCCGCCATTCTTATCTGCCAGTATCCGGACCGCAGATCTAGTTTTGAAAATACTGTAGCTCCCCGAAGCTGGTCAAACAGGTCATAGATTCGTGGTATCGGATATTTGTTCTTGATGGTCTGCTTGTTGAGAGCTCGGTAGTCGATGCACATGCGCCGGCTTCCGTCCGGTTTTGGCGTGAAGAGTACTTGGGCACCGTATGGCGAAGTGGAGGGTCGGATGAGTCCTTTGGCAAGGAGATACTCGATCTACTTCTTCATGTCAGCTAGTTCTGTGGGGCTTAGCCGATATGGTGCTCGAAAGGTCGGTTGCGAACCTGGTTCCTCCACGATCTCGTGTTGGTACGTTCGGTATGGCGGTAGTTCGTCCGGGAGGTCGTCGGGAAGAATGTCTTGGAACTCCTTTCTGTAAGTCCTTGATTTTTTCTGGAGGTTCCGAGGCTTTCTCTACGTCATTCTCCACCTCTGTTGCTATCGCCAAGAACCCGATGTCGGTTCGTTTCACGTCCTTCTCGGATTTGGGGAGTGTCTCCACTCGGATATCTCCTGTATCGTCCCAGTTGCGTAGCCGGACTCTCCTTCCTTTGTTGTAGATGCTTGCGGTGCGGTTTACCCATTTGATCTCGGGGTTGAATTTCTTGAGGAAGTCTCGCCCGAAGATCAGGTCAAGCCCTTTTATGTTGGTGATGGGGAGAGCAGGTTTCCAGCGCAGTGGACCGATTTGTAGGTGTAGCACTACTTCGCCGTACACTGGTAACTTGCTGCTATCCACCATCGTTACAGAAAATGCTGATGGCTTGTACCCTTCTCGAAGTCGGTCGATGGTTGCCTTGTCGCATACAGTGTGCGATGTTGCGCTGTCCACGAGTGCTTGGAGGCGTCGTCCTTTGCAGATGACCTCGAGCACGAAAGGCAGGCATTGCTTGGAGTACCCAAAGATGGTTTCATTGATTGGGTCATAGGGTACATCCCAATATTTGTTGCTTCCTACTCCTGAGCTGACAGCTGGCCGAGGCTCCTTGGAGAAAGGCTCTTCTCCTGGGCCCGGAGTTTCTGTGACGACTGTTCGTGTCGTTGACGAAGTTGCCGAGTTGGATGCATCCGAAGAAGGAGTTTGGGGTTTTTGCAGCTTCTTGTAGACCCCCAGCTTCCTTTTGAGCTGCTTCAGCTCCACCGACGTCTTCCCTGGGGAACGGGTAGTCGCTGTGGGCTGGTGCCGGGAGAGGACGTTGACTCCGTGGAAGGGTCTGCTTCTTTCCACACTCCTTAATTTGGTCCCCAATTTCTCGAGTACCGGTATGATCTCCACAATTTTCTGCTTCTTCTGGAGTCCCTCCCGAAATTTCTCCAAGGCTCTAGCCCCTCAAGAATTACAAGTTTTCATTAAACTATCTTTGTAAGATAACTTTAACGAATCCTTATAATTTCTTGGGTGTTCAAGGAGTTTCCCCGTCTTGGAAGAGTCCTTTTTTGCGGAGTTAGATTTTTCCTCGGCGAGGGCAAGGACTGGTCGTGGGGTGGAGATTTTTCCCCATCATTTTCTCTTGTTCGCGTCGAATCAGCTGCGTCGAAGTTGATTTTTCCGGAAGTCCGCGGCCGCTTTCGGATCTTTTCTTTTTTGCCAGCTAGATCCGCAATCACTGGCGAGTCCCGTTTTTCGGCTTTTGATTGGCCGAAGGATTTCCGCCACTGTTGCGTGCCCGATACTCAGCGCGTACGACTTTCATTTTGTTGTAGTCGAAGATTCGATGACCCGGCACCCCGAAGAAATCACAGTGTAGTTGGTGTTTTTTGGACGTGGCCGCCCTTCAAACCTGTCGACTTCCATCGGGTCGGCGAACGTGGTGTGAGCCGAGCGGTCGCCCTGTCGCGTACTGCCGACGTGCGTCCGTCGTGTCCCGGCGTTGACCATATCGAAGCGTTCCGCGGCCGATACGACGTCACTCTAGCTTGCGTAATTTGTCGCTGCCACTGGTCATTTGACTTCCGTCTTCAGCCCCGCGAGGTACGATTGTACGTTTTCCCCTTTGGTCAGGTCGGGAATGCGGTTATAAAATTCCTCCATCTGCTGCGTGTACTGCGCTACACTCCCGAACTGTCGATGGCGATGAATTTTTTCGCGGGCAAGGAAACCCGAATTTATCGGCTCGAAACGTTTCAGCAGGTCGGTGCGGAACTGCTGCCACATGGCTTCGCCGTGGATGAAGGTGTTGTTACCGCTGATCCACTCGAGTTCCAGCCCTCGCATCAGTGTCGCTGCGAGTCGTATGCGTTGACCGTCCGAGGCTGGCGAGCTCCATCCGACGGCTGCGAAGTAGATCTCCATGCCGGCGATCCATCTGCGGATGTCGGAGTTTTGATCGCTCGGATCGAACGGCTCAGGTGGGCGCGGTTTTGGAGCCTTGAGAAACTGCTGCGACTGCTGCGTCGTTGCTGTTGTCGTTTCCTGTTGCGCTCCGGCGAGTCGAGTTACTCGCTCGAACTTGTTTCGCAACGCTTCGCAATCCGCTCGCATCTCCTCCTGAAGGGCTGCGATGCGCGCGAAGAGCTGCTGGGTAACTTCGGTGTTGCCGAATTTCGCCATCCTGTTCAAAACACGTGCGGGGGGGATAATTCGAAAAAGCGCGGAGCTGGTGCCTACCAGAATCGGCGTAGAATTGGTCGCCCCCGGCGGTTTTTCGAGGCAGGATCCCCGTTGCTGCTGCTTAGTTGAGCGCGGCTGAGTGAGAAAAGCTCTGATTACCTAGTGTTACAGGATCGAATGTCTCGAGGAAAGGTTGCACTATCGATCAGTACAAGGCGCTTTTATACTTCCAAAGTACATCAGGTAACCAGGTTTATCTTATCCGAAGGGAATAGACCCTTCTAGAAGATAGAATCACCCTGCGTATAGCCACGCGAGGCTATTGGCTTCAAGGGATTACGGCAGGATTACGCTAGATATAGCGCACCAGCACATCCCGAGCCTGGTCGGTGATATAATGATAATAATAGGATAAACCAAAGGTTTATGGAAAAGGAGAAATAGGAATCCAAATGGAATGAGATAAAAACCAAATGGATCAAGATGGAAAGAGGAATGAAATGGAAAGGAGGAAGAAATGGAACGGGGTCGTACTCTCACACTTCCCGGGCCTGCTCCCCACGCTTCCGCCGCGCACTCCTTCTCTCCCTCTCGTGTTGCCATGGCGGTCGCGTCGTGCCGCGGCCGTCTCGACGCGCTGCCGTGGCGTCGCGCTGTCGTGGCGTCGACGTCTAGCCGCGGCGGCGTGACGGCGCCGTCGTGCTGCCGTCGCAGCATCAACGTCCCGCCGTGGCATCGACGCCGCACTGTGGCGGCGTCATAATGATGCCGTGGCGGCGTCGTTGGGCTGCAGCCGGCCGCGCAACTCCCGTGGCGCTGCTCGACTTGACGCCCGCACGCTAGCCACGGGCATGATGCTGGACCACGCCCCGTCCCCCCCCTTTTCCCCTGCGTCCCCTCCTCTTTACCACAGCCGACGCCTGACTCGTGAGGGTCTTCCCCATCGTTGCGGAACTTGGCCACGCCGCCGAGAGGGCGGGGGCCGCTGCAGTCGCCTCTGACGTCGAAGCCGCTGCCGTCGCTGCTGTCGCCGCTGGCCTGTTGCCGCCGCACGCCGCCGCCGCTGCCGTCACTGCCGCCGCTGCCGCTGTTGCCATCTCACGGGCCCCGGGGATTGGTCATGCCGGAGTAGTCGTGGCTGCTGCTGGGAATGGAGGTGCTAGGTTAGGGGGTGTGGGTGTGTGTGGGTTCTTCTACTACCAAGCCTAGGGGGTGTGTTATATTTTTTATATATGTTATATTATTGTAGGCTTGGTAGGCGTTTCTGAAACCTACTGTAGAGGGTACAACCCCCCTCCTTGTATCACTCTCTCTTCTATTCTCGATCTCTTTCCTCTCGCCATTTTCATGGCTTCCTACCGTTCCTAGCTACCTAGTCTCGTGATAGCTTTGTCAGCCAACTTATCGCGTTTTGTCAATATGCTGCCCTTTGGAAAGACACGCGCTAGAACGCAAAATTCGTCAACTACATTTTCACGTGCTTAAATTTTTTTCCATAAAATTCCTTTCATAAGCCCTTGGCTTATAAAATTTATTCGATTACAAGCACATGCCACTTTTGTTAGGTATTTCCTATAAGCCCCTATGCGCCTATATCGGGGGGATTACGATAAAGTCAAAGGTATCATGTAAACACATTCAGAATAGCAAGATGCTTTCAAGTACCGTAATCCCCCGGATATAACACCCCGGGTATACTACAAAATTCGTGCTAAAAACGGGGGGTGGGTGCTCTATTTCGCGTTTAGGCTATAGCACCCTGGTGTTATATTTGAGGATGAAAATTTTTAAACGTGCATTGTGATCTCTGTACATTCAGCTATCCAACCGTCATATTGTGGGCTCGATCGGGCATCAAATGTGCGCGATCTGAAGGTTGGAAGTGCGCCAAAGGGTTAAGCCCGTTACAGTGAGCCATGCAGCTGGAAACCAGTAGAGGACCACAGCACGAAACTCTCTCACACGCGGGACACCTCTGCTGTCACTTGGCGACGTCGCGTTGCCTCGGGCGACACGTTGAACGTGTCGCCCGCCAATGCCGTGACACTTAGGCAAGAGGGCCTCAGCAGCGGTATTTCTAGGCGAACCGTTGCGAACAGGCCTCTGTATGTACCCCTTCCTCTCTCAATTTTTTCTCCCAAGCGCATGACGAACGCTGGAATCCGTGTTCTCTTCAGCCGTAGAGCAGGTAAAAATGCTAGCACCCCTAGCCAAGTCACGCATACCGCAAGTTCTCCTTCTAGCCGCGCAGCACCTGTAGTGCAACCGACCGCTACGGGGTGGTTGCGTCGTGGCTACGTAGCGGCGGACGATGATACTTACGATGGCATGCCGGAGCTTGGCGGTGACGAGGCTGCAGCCGGCGACGAGAACAATGAGGATGCGGACGAAGAGGAGGAGTACGCCGACGAGGCAGCAGCTGCTGCTGTCACGGCAGCAGATCCATTCGATGACGAGGATCCGTGGGCTATGCCCGATGTCGCGGTTCCATCCTTCCCGTCGTCCAGTGAGCCGTCGACCGAGCCTGAGTCTGTCAATCATGATGCGAGACCACCGTCGCCTCATGCCAGGCTGTCGGGCAACAAGCGGCGATCCATCAGCGCCCGCGAGAAGCTGATGTGGATATCCATGTTCGAGACGCATCCAGCTCCGTCGCAGCGGATGGTCGCACGCATGGCGAAGGTGCAGCCGGTCATGATCCGCGAGTGGCGGAAGGCACAAGAACAGCTGAAAGGAGCGGCGCCTAGTCGGAAGCGTCTTCGCGGAGCCGGCCGGAAATCCAAGTACCCCGACATGGAGCGGGCCGTCTTCTGCCGCTATCTCTGCGCGCGGCGACGCGGTCTCCCCGTGTCAGTGGGGCTGATTCAGAGCTGGAGCCGCGACTGGATGCGCGACCACTTCGCGACCGTCGAGTGGAGGGCATCGTCGCGGTGGTCATTTCGTTTCCGCCGTCGATGGGGCCTCACCGTGCGGGTTAAGACGAAGATGGGGCAGAAGCTTCCCGCTGGTAAGCTCCCACGCCCCTCACTCATGTCTAGTGTTGCATACCCTTAGCACTCTGGCTGAGTCTTAACATAGCTTCTGTGTCTCTTCCTCCTTTTTTGCTTGTCAGATAGCGCGCCCAAATGCGAGCGCTTCTGGCAGTTTGTTCGTCAGATGACGGTCAAGCGGCAGATCGCGCCCGAGAACGTCATTAACGCGGATCAAACGCCGCTGTATCTCGAGATGCCGCTCGAGCGGACCCTCGAGCGTCGTGGCACCCGCACCGTCCATGTCCGTACCGCGGGGTACGAGAAGGAACGGGTGACCGTGATGCTTGCATGCACGGCCACCGGGGAGAAACTGCCGGCCTATGTCGTGTTCAAGCGGAAGAACCCGCCGAACTGCTACACTCCCGCGGGTATGTTCTGTCCTATAATGCGCGTCCATGAATTCGCTATGGTTTTTAAAAACCAGCGTCGAAATGTCTCGGAAGGCAACTAAATACGTGCAAACAACCCCCCTGCCCCCCTCCCCTAATTCAGACGTGGTGGTGCGCGCCCAGCAAAAGGGCTGGATGGACGAGCGCCTCGTCCAGGACTGGACGAGGAAGGTCGTGGTGCCCTTCCTGTCGCGGCCTCGCGGACCTCGACCGGCCTCGCTCCTTGTACTGGACTCGTACAAGGGGCACTTGACTTCGACAGTGCGGGCTACCTTCTCCCTCTTCAAACTCTTCCCCGCAGTTATCCCCGGTGGCTGCACACCCTACGTGCAGCCATTAGACATCAGCATCAACAAAAGCTTTAAAGCGGGGGTTCGTTCACAGTACACCAAGTGGTTTGCCGAGGAGGGCATCAACGCTACCACGAAGGCCGGTACGTGTTGTTTTGTGCCCCTCCTACCACGTGCGCTTGTTCCGTGTTGGCTCACTTGCTGTCTACTAACCTGCGTGTTTATATTGTGCCTTTCAGGAAATCTCAAGAAACCGCCTCCGGAAGTCGTCCTGAAGTGGATCTCCCGTGCTTGGGCGGCCGTCCCTGAATCGGTCATCACCAAGGCATTCAAGACCTGTGGCATATCGAATGCCACAGATGGGAGCGAGGATCATCTGATCCTCGCTCACATGCGGGACGGCAATGAAGTGGAGGTGCTGGAGGAGGTTGTTCCTGAAGACTCCCCCAACTTCCCTGAGCCGACTGCCGCTGTGCCTGCCTCGGATCCCCGCAGCATTCCAGAGGTGGTCTCGGAGCCTCGGGATGAGGATGCCTGCTCGGAGGATTTCTCAGGATGCGACTCCGACGAGGAGAGTAGTGGTGAGGCCGAGGTGGATGGAGAGGAAGAGGACGAGGAGGAGGAGCTGCCTTGGGAGGATGAGCTGTAGGACCCTCGCACCAAGCAGGGAGGCTGTGGAGGAAGATTCGATAGGGGATGCAGTAGACTGCGGGGTGCATTGGTGGCTGAGCAAGGTTTAGGGTTTAGGGCATAATGCATCCTGTTGTAGTTGGAAAATCAAGCTTGAAGTTGACTATGAGCAAAAACAAAACATAGGTAAAACTAACAGGGGGGGTGCTCTCCTGGAACCCTCAAAAAGGGGGTATATAATTGCGGATTCTTCAATAGTATACCCTCCCCGGATACAACACCAGGGGGTGCTCAATTCCGGCGGGTGTTATATCCGGGGGATTACGGTAGTTTATTGTCCAAGTCACATTGAAAAGCTCGTCAGCGTCAAGCAACAAGACCGTGACCATGAATTCTGGCAAACTTTGCTGCAAAACGTCTCTGGCGTCATCCATGTGAGCGGATGGACCCTCTACAACCCTGCGCTATTTTATCTCTCCTCCACTGCCATCTTGTCTCTCTCCCTGCCTGCACTCTTGTCCCTCTACCACCTTCCATTGTCTCTCACCCGTGCCTCTCCCCGTCCCTGCACTCTTGCCCCACTCCCTCCCTGCACTCTTGCCTCTCTGCCTCCCTGCACTCTTGCCTCTCTGCCTCCCTGGACTCTTGCCTCTCTCCCTCCCCTGCCTCCCCGGCGCTCTTCCTCCCCTGCTCTCGCGCCCCCACCCTTCCACCCTCACTACATGCAGCCCCGTCCCCCCTCACACGTGCTCCCGCTGCCCCTTCCCCCCACCCACGTGTTCAAGCCATGCTCTCATGCCTAGCCACAATCCCTAGCCTACAATCCCTAGCCTACACTTCCTGCCATGCTCTCATGCCTTGCTACCTCCGTACCTGCTCTCATGCCTCTCTTTCTCCATGCTCTCATCCCCCCCCTCCCCCCCTGCTCTCATGCCTCACTCCCTCCCTGCTCTCATGCCTCACTCCCTCCCTGCTCTCATGCCTCACTCCCTCCCTGCTCTCATGCCTCACTCCCTCCCTGCTCTCATGCCTCACTCCTTCCCTGCTCTCATGCCTCTCTCCCCCCCCACGGCACTCCAGCCATTCCCCCTCCCCTGCTCCCTATCCTCTCACCCATCCCTGCTCTCCCTCTTCTCCCCAACCCCTGCCCTCCCTCCCCCCCCCACTCCCCTGCTCTCACTCCCCTCTCCCATGTCCTCAATCATCTCCCCCTCCCTTGCTCTCACTCATCTCCCCCTCCCTTGCTCTCACTCATCTCCCCCTCGTTCTCACTCATCTCCCCCTCCCTTGCTCTCACTCATCTCCCCCTCCCTTGCTCTCACTCATCTCCCCCCTCCCTTGCTCTCACTCATCTCCCCCTCCCTTGCTCTCACTCATCTCCCCCTCCCTTGCACTCACTCATCTCCCCCTCCCTTGCTCTCACTCATCTCCCCCTCCCTTGCTCTCACTCATCTCCCCCTCCCTTGCTCTCACTCATCTCCCCCTCCCTTGCTCTCACTCCTCTCCCCCTCCCTTTCTCTCACTCCTCTGCTCTCACTCCTCTCCCCCTCCCTTGCTCTCACTCCTCTCCCCCTCCCTTGCTCTCACTCCTCTCCCCCTCCCTTGCTCTCACTCCTCTCCCCCTCCCCTCCTCTCGCTCCTCTCCCCTTCCTCTGCTCTCACTCCTCTCCCACTCCCCTGCTCTCACTCCTCTTCCCCTCCCCGGATCTCACCCCTCTCCCCCTCCCCTGTGTTCACTCCTTTCACATCCCATGATCTCACTCCTCTCCCTTTCCACTGCTCTCACTCCACTACCCCTCCCCTGCTCGAACCCCCCCTTCTCTGAGGGCACTCTTATGCCCCAGGTCCCTCCCCTGCTCTCACTCCGCTCTCCCTCCCTGCTCTTTCGACTCTCTCCCTCCCTGCTCCATCGCCTCTCTCCCTCCCTGCCCTATCAACTCTCTCCCTCCCTGCTCTATCGCCTCTCTCCCTCCCTGCGTTATCGACTCTCTCCCTCCCTGCTCTATCGCCTCTCCCTCCCTTCCCTATCGCCTCTCTCCCTCCCTGCCCTATCGCCTCTCTCCCTCCCTGCTCTATCGCCTCTCTTCCTAAACCCTGCTCTATCGCCTCTCTCACTCCCCCCTCTCATGCCTCACTCCCTCCCTGCTGGATCGCCTCTCTCCCTCCCTTGTAGACTCGCCCATCTCCCTCCGTGTTCGATCACCTCTCTCCATCCCTGCTCCATCGCCGCCCTTCATCCCTGCTCTATATCCTGCCGTCTTCCCTGCTCTATCGTCTCGTCCTCCCTGCTATATCGCCTCTCGCCCTCCCTGCTCGATCGCCTCTCTCCCTCCCTGCTCTATCGCCTCTCTCCCTCCCTGCCCTATCGCCTCTCTCCCTCCCTGCTTGTTCGTATCTCTCCATCCCTGCTCTATCACCTCTCTTCCTCCCTGCTCATCGCCTCTCGTCCTCCCTGCTCTATCGCCTCTCTTCCGCCCTGCTGTATCGCCTATCCCTCCCTGCTCTTTGCGCCTCACTCACTCCCTTCGTGCTGTATTGGCTCCCCCCCTCCCTTCTGTTTTGCCTCTTTCCCTCCCTTCTATCGCCTTTCGACCTCCCTGCTTCATCGCCTCTCTCCATCTCCGCTCGATCGCCTCTCTCCATCACCGCTCGATCGCCTCTCTTCCTCCCTGCTCGGGTACTTGCTGTGGGACGCAGCGTGAGACGGCATGGCCGCGGGGTTGAGAAGAGCTATGCGGGGTCGACGGGTCGCGCGGGCTCGAAGCGGGGAAAAGCGGAAAGTGTGTTCCCCTTTGCAGCCAACTAGCGCCGACGGTGGGGGAGAGCGGGTAATGGGCGGCTGCAGGCAACTCGGCGCAGCTAGAGGCGGAAGCGGGAATTTACGCGTGGGCGCCAAAGCATCGTACAGACTTTTTAGGCTGATTTTGGTTTCAGTTCCAGTCATATCTTGGCATTGGCTAATGCAAATTATACAAAGGCTTGTGAGGGACCTGTTGTTCAGGAGTAAGTCTCAATGGGCAGTTTGCAAACACTGGAAAATCATAGAAAACAGAAAAAACAGCCATTGAAATTAAGCAAACCAGGGCTTTAAGGTTGATATCTTAGGCACTGTTCGTCAGAGGAAGGAAGTTTTCCGAGGATTACTCTCCGAGAATGGCTTTGTTGGTGGTCAGTCGCAGAGAGCTGGAGTGGTCGACGTGGCACAACTTCAGCAGCCTATTCAGCTGTGGCGTCGTTCGTCTCCATGAGCTGGGCGAATCTGCACCTTGGACATGAGCTGGCGCAATCCTCTTCCATGAATCGAAAGGTCACCCCATACTCTCTCAGCGCCCACAAAAGATGGCTAGTACACCATAGCGAGCGATATTGAGAAGAGGATAGTTTGTGTTTCATATGTGCCCAGGTGCACCTCCTCATTTACCTGCACCACATCATCACGGATTTCCGTGCAACCGCCTGAATAGGTATTCTCAGCGGATGCCATCAGACGGCTCCTGCCATCTTCTGCTTCGTTCGGGGCGCCTTGATTCTAAATATCCGACAGCTAGGCCGGCTAACCTCTCGAGGATTCCGACTTTCCGTACACCTGCGTAGGCGTTTTTCCCAGCAGAGCTCATGGCGCTTGCACTGCAACCCTCTCGCGCCGTGACGAGCATCCGTCCAGCCACGGCAGAATCTCTCGCGCTCAGTACTCCTTCCGTCGCCGTCTCTTTTCCACGACTGTCGTCCGCTCGCTTGGCGCAGAAGCGAGGGACACCGGGATGCCGCACAAGTCCAGTCGCCCACGCGACAGCGAGCAGCAGCGCCGCCTCCGCAGGCAGCGGCAGCATTTACGGCGACGATACTAGGCCGGATAATCCCGTGGAGGCGAGCGGGCTGGGCGCATCGGACGTGCGTCTGGAGGCGAGACGCGCGGTCGATTTCTCGGAGCGCCTCATGGCCGACCCCTACCTCCCCGTCGAGTCCGCCATGACCACACCGGTAACACCGCAACCCGCGTCGTCTGCTATTGCCGCTTCGCGCTCTAATTCCCGTTCGTCCCTTCCCCGTAGCGGCCCTGTGCTGCCACGTCATAGCGCTCGGGTCGCCGTGCTCCCTGGGTCGCTCTCTCCAGCAAGCCGTCCATGTCCTAATGCCCCCGCATACCATCCCCGGTGTCGGCGGCGCGCAGGTGGTGACGACGACGGCGGCGAACACGATCAGCAGCATCCTGGACCAGTTCGTGCACTTCACGGGGCTGCCCGTGGTGGACCGCGAGGGGCACTGCGTCGGCGTCATCTCCAACATCGACATCGCCAAGCACCAGCGACGCTCCTTCAAAAGCGTCGCCGACGCGCTCGTCAAGTGAGTGCGCTCGTCAACGTCGCAAAGTTGGGGACCAGAAACAGTAGGTACGGCGTAGGTACAGAGTAGGAATGAGACCAACGGAGTAGCCATGCTATGCGGATAATTATCTCCGCTATGTAGGTCAAGGCATTTTTTTGGGATGAAGTGCGTGCGCTCGTCAAATCAGTGCGCTCGTGGAGTGAGTCGGCTCGGATATGGGGCGCGGTGCAGGGGCAGTAGGAGCGTCGCGCAGGGTTGGCGAACCGGGGAAACGCCCAGGCCGTGAACGAGAATTGTGTTGGAGGATGCGACAGAGCAAGGTGGTCGGTTGAAGAGGCGTGATGACAACTGCGCTAATGGCATGGGCGCGTACGAGTATGGGGGCTGAAAAAGAGACAGCTTTAGGAGCGGTGAGATGGCAGAAGCGATGGCATTGTGTGAAGGTGGCATGCACAGTTGAACACAGAGCGCAGCACAGTCTCCAGTCACCTGCATGCAGCTAGGTGGTGCAAAGAAGTGATGCTGGCGTGCCACGGCTAGGGACATGGCCGGTTCAGGTGCAGTTGCCATGCAAGTTCTTCGTCAGCAGCGTGCGCGTGACGGTACTGCACTTGGTATTGTTGCCGGAGCTCTAACCCAGTCAGTCCAGTTGCTGAATAAGCTCGTTGTTGATGTTGCCCCCGCACTGCAGGGAAGTGATGACATCGCCTGCCATCGTCATCACAGAACATGCTCCTGTGGCGTATGCTGCCGGACTCATGCTCAAACACAAGGTAAGCTCACATGCATGGCGTTGGTGAATCATGCTCATGCCGATGGATGAACTGTGTAACGTACGCTGCAGCCCCCTCACTCCGCGCATCACTTGTGGTTTCTAGCGCAACACTGGCAGCAGCATGGTCCCTCGCTGCCACATGTATTTCAGAGAGCCTTAGTGGCAAAACCATTTTGGGCTGGTCCCGCTTTCCTCCTTACATCCACTGTTGCTGCTTGTGCCCCCTCAGATTCATCGCCTGCCAGTTGTGGATAACACCAATGTGGTGGTTGGCATTCTCACCCGCACGGACATCTACGAGCCCCTCATGCCTGCTGTCAACCCAGTGCTCCATCGTCTTGTAGGCTTTGAAGAGCCCAAACCACCCACTGCTAACCTGTAGCTGGGTCATGTGTCCACGGAAAATTTGAGCGTGCCAGCCACCATTCGTAACGGTCTGATCGATGGTGGTTAAAACGAGGGCATCAAATCTCGCTCTTCCTTTGTAATATTTTCATTTTTAACATCTGGAGGTAGTACCAAAAGGGTGCAGTATTTGCCCAGTTCTCCACGCTTGTTGTCTAAAGTGGATGCTATAATTACCTAATGGTTATGTATTTTAAGAGCTGCGTGATTCTGTACATGGACGAAGTATTGATTAGTGTTCATGTTCCCAACCAAACCTAACATCGAAGAGTTCTAGAATGTTGCCACGTGGTTGGTCTAGTCTCCACCTTCGCGACACTTCGAAGGCCCACACAAGGGGTGTGCGCGAAGACGCAAATTGGATCAGATCTGGTCCACCTCCCCTCACGAAGACAACCAGTGCTCACGCCCAGACGGCTTCGCGAAGGGTCGCGTGATGGGACTCGCGTCGCTGACTCGGTTACGCGACGAAACACACCGTCGCACGAGAAGCCGCCTGGTCGCGCATGGTGCAACAAGCCATTCCAGTCCATCGCAGAGCCTGACCTCCAAAACCATTAGTGATCATCAGCTACACCTAAGGTTGTGTCCTCGTCACCACTGATCGGGTGGCGTCAGCATTCCACTCAAATTAGAGACGTCGCTAAACATTGGAGCACTTTGGGCCTTCCCACGGTATCAGCGGGGATCTGTTACCCGCAGACGGTCGCAATTCGCAAGTCTTGGTGGCGGACAATCCGTGCCGGACCTTGTGATTCGTTGCATCTCCCTGGCAACCCCTGCATCTCCCTTCCGGCTGGCCTGACAACTCCGTTCCACCCATGGCGATCGGCCCAGCAGCGCTGCTCCCCACCATCCTGGTCCTGGTTGCGCTGGCGCCCATCGCTTTCCTGCCCGCGCGTGCGATCGAGAACAAATGCAGCGCGTGTGTCGCTATCTCGGTGAGCTACCGCGAGCTATGCGCGAGAAACACGGTTGTGCGATAGCACTGTAGCTTGATCAGGAGACTCCTGACAACGGAGGTGTTTTCTCCCTTACTGGGCTTGGCGCGCTGCAATTGACCTCCCAGCACGTCTATCAGCGGCTGGGCTCTCCGTCCGTGCCTCCCCCCCTCTCTCCCTCGCCCCTGCCCTCTTCGCCACGCTTTGTATCCCGCACTGTCTCTCACTACTTTCCCAGTTGATGCAAATGTCGCCTGCCTTGTGTCCGTCCCATCTCCTTGGGCGACTCTAACAACACTCCCATCTTCCACTTCTTCCCGCACCTCGCATCTTCTCTCTTCTCCCCCCGTCTCTCCCTCACTCGCGCAATCTGCTCGCAACCCTCGGCGCCGCGAATGGCGTGGCTGTGCCGGGTGATCTCCGTGGCTCCGCCGCGCTCACTGGGAACAGAAGGAGCTGCTGCTGATACTATCCGAGGTAGGCAGCAGCTGCAGACTATACCATGAGTTGACAACTAGGGGGGAGTATGAACTGAAAGTCAGGGTTAGGATGGCTCCTAGCGTGCGTCTAACGGTGCTGTGTGCTTGTACGTGTGGGCGGATGGCTGGCTCCGTGACTGCTGTGGTGTGGGGGGGGGAGGGGGAGGGTGGGGTGCGTGTGTGTGCGTGTGTGTGCATGTGTGTGTGTATGCGTGTGTGTCGGTGTGTGCTGTGCTGTGTGCGTGTGTGTGTGCATGTGTGTGTGTATGCGTGTGTGTCGGTGTGTGCTGTGCTGTGTGTGTGTGTGGATGCCATGAGTGGCAGGAGCGGCCGCGCAACCATCTGGACATGAGGAATCGGCTCAACTCACAGGGCAAGCGGGAGGGCAAGCTCATAGACTACAGGTGAGAGGGCAAGCTCATAGACTACAGGTGAGAGGGCAAGCTCATAGACTACAGGTGAGAGGGCAAGCTCATAGACTACAGGTGAGAGGGCAAGCTCATAGACTACAGGTGAGAGGGCAAGCTCATAGACTACAGGTGAGAGGGCAAGCTCATAGACTACAGGTGAGAGGGCAAGCTCATAGACTACAGGTGAGAGGGCAAGCTCATAGACTACAGGTGAGAGGGCAAGCTCATAGACTACAGGTGAGAGGGCAAGCTCATAGACTACAGGTGAGAGGGCAAGCTCATAGACTACAGGTGAGAGGGCAAGCTCATAGACTACAGGTGAGAGGGCAAGCTCATAGACTACAGGTGAGAGGGCAAGCTCATAGACTACAGGTGAGAGGGCAAGAGGGGTCATGTGCGCTAGTGGAGGGATCACCTGGGTGGGGTTGCCATGGAGCTGCGAGGCCCGCACGTCCTCACAGGACTCGATTAACCCCATGCCTGCACACCTGCCTATACCTCCCCTAGGTCGCCACAGCTCCCTCATTTTCGTTGCCCTAGCATGCTGTGGAACGTGGCGTGCCTTGATGGCATCATGGCACGGCATGTGATGGCGTCTCATTGGATGGTTATGGTATGGCATGGGAGGGCATGGGATGGAATGGCATGGCATGGCACGGCACGGCATGGCATGGCATCGCACCGCATGCCATGGCGTGGCATGGCACGGCACGGCACGGCATGGCATGGCATGGCATGGCAGAGTGAGTGAGCTGCGGGCAGTGGAGATTCTGGACGGGCTGTGCAAGAAGATGGACAAATACGCCGTGGTCACTGTGAGTGGCGGGAGAGGGGGAAGAGCGCTGTGAGGCAAAGGGGGGAGAGGGCTGTGAAAGAGAAGTTGTGAGTTTAGGGGACCGAGGCCATTTGTGAAGTGTTTTGTGCACGCACATCTGAAGTATATTGGACACAAACATGCCATTTCATGCCCTTTTCGTCTCCCCGCATGCCTCTATGTGTTTCGCCTGTGTGGCTACCCTGTTTGGGGCCGTTACAGAAGGATGACAGGAGAGTGTGGAGCTCCCACCGCGACTACTCACGATCAGCCAACACTGATAGAAGTTCGTGACATACTCACTCAACTCCCCACACTCTAAGCAGCCCAATCTGCAACCCGCATGCTCTTTGCCGTCAAGGCTTCAGGTCTCGCCCTTGTGACTCTGTGCTGTTGTCTTTCAAGAATTGAGGTTGTCAACTTTCCACTCACTCCCCCCCATCCACCCCCCCCCTCCCGCCCCCCTCCCCTTGCACCTCCCGCTTGCGCCACCGTTTCCCATTTTCTCACACTTCGTCCCTGTGCTCACTTTCCCACCCCTCACTGGCTAACCCCGCGCCTGCTACTCTTCATGCCTAAACCCAAAACCCTGCGTGTGCGAGCAGAGAAGCTCATTCGCGAGGAGCAGGGCAAGGAGATCAAGCGCTGGTGCGACAGGTGAGGGGCAGCAACGCGCCTTGCCATCCGTTGCTGCCACATGCCGCATGCCGCATGCCGTATGGGCGCATGTGGTGAACGCACCACGAGTGCAAGCGGGCCATGGGTGCCTGAGAGGGAAGCCCTGCCAAGGGCGCTGTGTGCATGAGCTGCACGTGAGCCTGGCAGCTCTATCATCTATCTTGTGCGGTATGTGCGTGCTGCCCTCGCTGCACGCATCCCCTGCCGTGCCTTGCTCTAGTATGCCATGCGTTCTTATGCCCCCTTTCACTGCGCATTCTGGACTCCTGCGCACCCTCACTCCTCCTGTACTCTCACTCATGCGCACCCTCCTCTCCTCCGTCCCCTTGTGTGTGTTGCATGATGGCAGGGTGCTCGAGGAGTACGAAGATGATGTGAGTGCTTTCTTCTCGCCCCACCCTCTCTCCCTCTCACCCACTCACCTGCTTGGAAGAATAAGGGCGGGAAGAAAGGCATTCACAGTGCGGAGCACAGTTGACGTCTGAGCGTATGTTGTAGTACACAGTAGCCATGTGGGGCTCACACAGGTAGTACTTGTGCAGTCCACTCGTCTAGCTTCCCAAGATCTCAAGAATTTTCTCTTCTGCCTCTCAACCAATCTGGCCCATCCATATTCCCACGACACCCCCACGTATTAGCACTGCACTCACCCCTATCCCACCCTTCTTCTCCCCTCTCCCCCACCACGCGCGGCTGACGTGGTCAGATCACGGGTGTGCTGCGGTCGGGCGAGCTGAACTTGGATGCGGACGTGCCGGGCGTGCTGTGCACCAACATCACGCGCTCCTGCAAGGCCAAGGCACTGCAGCGCGAGGTGCTTGCTGCAGACGACGGGTCCGCTCCAAGCAACGGGTGAGTAGGTTTCTGCCCAAGGTGAATGCACTGCAACCCCAGGTGAATGCACTGCATCCCCCAAGTGAATGCGCTGCATCCCCCAAGTGAATGCGCTGCATCCCCCAAGTGAATGCGCTGCATCCCCCAAGTGAATGCGCTGCATCCCCCAAGTGAATGCGCTGCATCCCCCAAGTGAATGCGCTGCATCCCCCAAGTGAATGCGCTGCATCCCCCAAGTGAATGCGCTGCATCCCCCAAGTGAATGCGCTGCATCCCCCAAGTGAATGCGCTGCATCCCCCAAGTGAATGCGCTGCATCCCCCAAGTGAATGCGCTGCATCCCCCAAGTGAATGCGCTGCATCCCCCAAGTGAATGCGCTGCATCCCCCAAGTGAATGCGCTGCATCCCCCAAGTGAATGCGCTGCATCCCCCAAGTGAATGCGCTGCAGGCCCCAGGGGAATGCACTGCATCCCCCAAGTGAATGCACTGCAGCCCCGGGGTGAATGCACTGCAACCCCAGGTGAGTGCAACCCCAGGTGAGTGCGACCCCAGGTGAATGCGACCCCAGGTGAGTGCGACCCCAGGTGTTGGCCTTTTGCTTGCAGGATGCTTGTGTATCCACCGACTTCACCTGCAACCTCAACACCACATGCCACCCACATGCATGCACACCTCATCCCTGCACCAGGCATGCTTCCAGCATTCCGAGCGGATGCAACCTCTTGTTGCCGTGCTCCTTTCTCTTTTGCCCTCTGCTCATCCCATTCCCATGTGACTCCTAACTGTCCTCCGTCCCTCCCCACATCCCCCCCTCACTGCCCCTTCTCCAACTCCCCCCATCAGCATCAGTGCAACCATCTCGCCAGCGTCGGGTGGGGGCCTGGTGGATGTGACTGAGGAGGAGACGAGCTCGAGCAGTGCTGCAGGCACCACCGGGATGGGTGGCAAGCCAGCGACAGAGGCAGCAGACGAATTATGAGGCAGATTTACCCAGGGGACTTGGCTGTCCGATGTCTGTCTGATCAAGCCCGGCTGGAAAATCTGTTAGCACTTGAACCGTACTTATGCAGTGAGTCGCTATAAACTGCCAAAACATTATGCTATTACAACAACTTGGTCCACTACATTTTACACAGTTCACTCAGTCAAAGGTGTATTATATCAAGCAGACTATAGGGTGGTGGGAAATGGACAACTCACAGCCACAGCTGTGCCGTACTGTTGTGCAAGTTGGCCCGTGGGCATGGATCGACTCACACCTCACGTCACAACTCATGCAAATGTTTTTTAGACATCCTAACATGCGCAGAACTCCACATCACACACCACGTGTCATGACCCACGCGTCATGTGTCCAACTCATCCTCCAGATGTTGGTACTCAAACATGAAGTCTTCCTTCACACGCTGACACCTGGCAGCATAGCAGGAGGACACGTGGCAGGAGGGAGAGTTGAGAGGTGGGATGAGAAGAGAGAAGGGGATTCACTCCTAGCACTCGCTCTCAGTTGCTATAAGCAGTTGCAGGCCTACCAAATGCACATCACAGAAGAGAGGCGGAGGAGGATGAGGAGGACGAAGAGGATCGCTGTGGGGAGCTCACCAGCCAGTGGATGCAGCAGCAGGGTTTGCGTCCGTGAGGTTGGGTGCGTGCAGGTGGAAGTCGAAGTACACATAGCCACCCCGCTCGTACTCGTCCGTGATTACCTGCAGGGAGAGACGAGGCACAAGTACATCCAGCATGGCATGCAGGGAGGCAGTGGGATAAGAGCAGGAGTGCCCCACAGAGAGGCAATCCTATACCGCTCCCTGCCTCAAAGAACCGAGGAACGACTTCGGATGCAAAGGCAAACTTTTTCCTCAAAAACTAAGTTCCATGCTGCTGCTGCTGCTGCTGCTGCTGTCACATGACATGGCAAGACATGCCCATTGGTTGGGAGGGCTGTAGCCTATGCGACACTGGCATTCTCCGGACATATGCCGGGCTCACATGGCAGCGCTGCAACACGGCACTTGCGGTGGCCCACCCACGGCAACAAGGCACCTGCGACGGCCCACCCAAAGCAACAAGGCGTGCAGGGCAGGCAGCAGCGCTCACCGGGGGTGTGATGTGGCGCTGGAACCAGGTGTTGTAGCCCTTGTGGAAGCGCCACGACTGCTTCTTAAGCTCCTTGCCCGCCAGGTACTGCATGTACGTGCTCTGCCACAAGGGGGGGCATGCAGCGAGTGACGGGTGGGAGGGTTGCAAGTGGCACTGGAGGGATGGGTGGGTGGAGGATGTGAGGCACGGCAGGCACACATGCCCTCGCTGGGAACACTCGCAGGGGCTTGCCTGCAGGCACGCACAGTTGGGCATACAACCACGTGGGCTTGCCTGCAGGCACGCACAGTTGCGCATACAGCCATGTGGGCTTGCCTGCAGGCACGCACAGTTGCGCATACAGCCATGTGGGCTTGCCTGCAGGCATGGCAGCGAGAAAGGGGAGAGAGCAAGTGAGAGCGAGAATGGGGGAGCGAGGGCGAGAGGGAGAGAGAGTGAGGGAGCGAGTGAGGGAGGGAGCGACCTGTTGGAAGTAGAAGGCAAAGAAGAGGGCGTCCATGCCAAGGCGCTCGAACAGCGCGCTTGCATGCTCCGGCGCTATGGGCTTGTGCGGCCACATGGCCGGCACCTGGCACGGCCGCGATGGCCGCACCATCAAACTGGGCGCACTGCAGGCGGGGAGTGCGAGAGGGAAAGGGGAGAGCGATACCGGGGCAGGAGGGGAGGGGAGGGGGAGGGGGGGGGGGGGAGGGAGGGAGTGGGCAGGTAGGGAGGCCCAGAGGAGCAGGTTGGACGTGAAAGGAACAAGGTGCGCGGCGCTGGAGCACGTGGAGGAACACAGAGGCAGCCCCCGCGCGTACGATGCATGCACGCGTAAACGGCTCGCCAAAGCCGCAAAAGAATCCCCTCTGCTGTGCGTTGTAGAATAGCACCATCCCCCGCCATTGCTTTCCCCTAGGCTTCCGGTAATTGAGGGCTCAGCGTTTAACATTCAAGGTTACAAGGTTAAGGTCTAAGACAGCAGGTGTAAGGTAGAAGGTTTGAGGTTAAAGGTGAGGGGTGGCCCACCTGGTTCTATCCGCGCGGTCCTCCGCCCCGTGGTCCCTCATCTGCTGGAAGCCGCACTGCAGCGCACTGAGCTCTTGCTCCCGCCGCCTCTCCGCCATCCACGGTGCTGCACCTGACACCGAGGGAACAAGGCGCACACACAGCAGCGCCCACATGCCACGCTTGACTCATGGCTCACTCACGCCAATCCACCTGCGAGCGCAGCTTGCAGCTGTCAACGCCCACATCACAACCGCAAGAACGCACAGGTGATATCTCAGCAGCACAGGTGATACCTCAGCAGCACAGGTGATATCTCAGCAGCACAGGTGATACCTCAGCAGCACAGGTGATATCTCAGCAGCACAGGTGATATCTCAGCAGCACAGGTGATATCTCAGCAGGACAGGTGTTATCTCAGCAGCACAGGTGATACCTCAGCAGCACAGGTGATATCTCAGCAGGACAGGTGTTATCTCAGCAGCACAGGTGATACCTCAGCAGCACAGGTGATATCTCAGTAGCACAGGTGATATCTCAGCAGCACAGGTGATATCTCAGCAGCACAGGTGATATCTCAGCGGCACAGGTGACACCTCAGCGGCACAGGTGACACCTCAGCAGCGCAGGTGACACCTCAGCAGCACCCACCTGGGGACGGGCTTCGGGCGGTGGAACCCCACACTCCACTGGCCGCCCCACTCACAACCCCTGCCCCTCCTGCTGCTGCCGCTCCTGCTGTGGCTGGGGCTAGCGGTCCTGCTGGTGCCGCTGCTCCTGCTCCTCTACCCCACACTGGCTGCATCTGCGCACCAGCAGCAGCGCGAAACGCAGCAGCAGCACCGGGATGCATTTCACCAGGGCGCCCAGCAGCAGCAGCAGCCGCAGCCGCCGCTGCAGCAGAGAGAGAAGTAACCTGCTGCAGCGACGGGGATGGGGATGGGGATGGGGATGGGGATGGGGAGGGGGAGGGGGAGGGGGAGGGGCCACCGCTGCCGCCCAGAGGCACAACCCACGCAGAAGGCGGGCGCATGGGGGAAGGGGACGGGCCGTGGGGCAGCCCTGGCAAGGGCAGGGGCTGTGCACGGTCAAGTGCGGGGAGGGAGGGGTGCTTGGGGAGCACAGGGCCGGATTGCACTGCCTGCCCCGGCAGCGCTGCTAGCGGGTGCTGCGGCTGGAGAAGCTGCGATGCCTGCAACATCTGCTCACGCTGGAGCCTCTCCTGCTGCTGCTGCTGCTGCAGCCGCTGGTGTCTGTCAGAAGCCATTGCCATCTGCTGCGCCTGTTGAGCCAGAACGCTCTGCTGCAGTGACGGCAGCACACCACCACCCTGCGCACCAGCGTGCACAGGCAACTGCCGCAACAGCACCTGCTGCTGCTGCTGCTGCTGCTGCTGCTGGGCCAGCAGTGGCGCTGCGGCTTGCTGCTGCTGCATTAGGTGCTGGTGCTGGAGTTTCTGCAGCAGCGCTCGCGAGAGGCTGTGCGGCACGTGCTGCAGCGCAGCAGGCAGGTCCAGAGGCGCCCGCGGCCATGCTCCCGCTGCCGCCACCAGTGGCACACCAGCCCCGGCAGCAGCAGCAGCAGCACCTGCAGAAACGAGGCCCTGAGCCTGGCCGGGGCTTGTTCCCAGAGTCAGTCCCCCCTGTAGCACGACTGGCGCCTGCCCACTTCCCAGTAGGGGCACCCCATGCTGCCCTCCCACGGCTGCTGCCGCTGCCACCTGCTGCCTCCCATCGAAGCCCCCTGCGACAGATGCCCCACCTGGCACAGGCGCCCTGATCCCCCCAGGGTGCAGGGGGGCGTCCTGAGAGGCGAGAGCTCCCCCAGGCGTGGTGAATGGCGGGACGATGGCAGCAGCGGTGGTGGGGCGAGACGAGACAGAGAGTTGCGGTGCAGAGTCGTGGAGGGTGTCCGGGAGGTGCGGCAGGTCCACTGTCAGTGCGGACGCTGCTGGGCGCAGCAACAGCGACGGCTCCTTGCCTGCAGTGCGATCATGCGCCGAGGGACACCAACATGGGCCACGGCAGGTTGAATTCCGGCAACCGCAGGGGTTGACGAGTGCTGCGCTAGCCCTGCTGGGCCACAGCAGGGTTCGGGCTAAGGGTTTCAGGATGCAGCAACCCGCAAGGCAGCGCAGGGCGTTGGAGCCTGAACACAGCTGCAGCGACTCACCTGGAGTTAATACGGGGCTGGATGGGCCGGCGGACGCGGGCCGGGATAGCACAAGGTCCGATGCGAGGGCCAGGGTGCCCTCATGGAGCCGTGCATGAGCAGCAGCTGCCTCCTCCAACCTGCCCGGTGCCCCAACGCCCCTGCCACCGACGCCCACTCCAACACCACCAGTAGCAGCACCAGAAGCACCTGCAGCAGCAGCCGCGGCAGTGGCGGCAGTGGCAGGGAGGTGCTCCTTCACAGGCGCGGGTGCAGGAGCTAGTACCTGCCCCCTGCCCTGCTGCTGCAGCTGCAGCACGCCTCTCCTGCCTGCAGCAGCAGCAGCAACAGCGGTGGAGTCAGCGGACGCGGCAGCAGCAGCAGCGAGAGCAGCGGTGCGGATGGACGTGAGCGAGCGCAGGAACGCAATGCTGCCGCCCATGTCGACCCGCACCGCCCCCCCCGCCTCCTTCTCCCGCCGCTCCTCCCTCTCCCCCGCACCCCCCTGACCCCTCTCCGCGCCCTTGCCTACCGGTGCACCCGCGCTGCTGCCTACCTTCTCTGCCACACTGCCCTCTGCGACTTGCCTTGCGGCTTTCCTTCCCCCAGCGTCCCCCCTGCTGCCCGGGGCAGCCTCCTTGGCGTCCTCTTCATCCTCCGTACTCGCTGGTTTGACAGCCGCTGCCAGACACGGCTCTGCAAGGAAGCAGGTGGTTAGCACACGAGGTTTCAGCGGCTACGACTACGACTACACACACACACAAAGATGAGCCATGGACACAAAGTGAATCCAAATCACAGCACTAGAACCACCTGTCACACCGTGAACGCGGGCGAAACGAGCAGTCAAGAGAGGAGTGCCCAGAGAGCAAAGCCACCCGAACCCACCAGGAGCAGTCTTCCCACACGCGTCGCCCTTGGCCTTCTCCTCGCCCTCCAGCTCCCCCAGCTGGATCAGAAGAGCCGATGACTGCGCCGCCTCCTTCGCCTCCTTCGCATCAGCGTCCAGCCCAGCCCCCTTCGCGCCCGCACCACCCACCTCCTTCGCCACGCCTCGCCCTCCCATCTCCTCCTGCACTCCCTTCTCCCCGCCCCCCTCTCCTTCCGCCCGGGTTCTCGATTCCACGCCCTCCTCCGCCCCCTCCCCCTCCTCCGCCCCCTCCCCCTCCTCCGCCCCCTCCCCCTCATCCGCTCCCTTGTGTGCACGGAACGACGCTGAGAGGTGGCGCTCCGGAGCAGCAGAGAGGGGACTGTGCGCCCGGGAGAGGGGGCTGCTGCTGGCAGTGGGCAGCGGCGAGAAGGGCTTGAGGGGCGAGGGGGCGTGCAGGGCGGGCGAGGGGGATGGGGAGCGGGGAGAGGAGTCGGGCCTGGGTTCCTTGCGCGGACTGGGCATGGCGGATGGCAGCCGCGCTGCGAGGGAGGGGAGGGAAGGGGAGAGGGTGGTTACTGCGGTGGTTCAGCATGCACGGCTGGGACAGGGGGGAGGAGGAAAGAGAATCGGCAGGCCGAAATGAGCAGGCATGCCGGCATGAGCTGGCAGGCCGGCATGTATTGGCGCACCTTTTGCTTTCCCAACGTGAGGGCTGGCAAGATCCTGCACGGACGCAACACACAGGCGTCAGCGCCGGTCACAGCCGCAATAACGGCTCGGACAGCAGCAGCAGGTGGATGCAGGGAGGGGGGGGAAGGGGAGGGGGGTTGTGGAACAGACGAGGAGGAGTGTGCACCTTTGGCGGGGAGTCGTATGCAGCGGAGAAGGGCGAGGACGTGGCGCTGACCTGCGGGCTCATGGACGCCGTGGGCGTGCGCGCACCTGCAGCAAGTGACCGCCCAGAAAGGGGCGGGGAGGGGGGGAGGGAGGAAGGCAGCAGTGCCAGGCAGCTGCCAAGCTCATGGGCTTGATACTTGGGCAGTTCCATTAAGGGAACGCAGCAGCCTGTTTTTGAGGCGCCTCAAAAATTGATACTTGGGCAGACTTTTGAGGCGCCTCAAAAGTCGTCTCAAAAATTGATACTTGGGCAGTTCCATTAAGGGAACGCAGCAGCCTGAGTAACTCGAGCGCCATCGCCCTGGTCTCTTCCAGCTACACCGTGAATGCAACTTATTGTGCGGCGCGTGCCTCAAGTGCCGTGCACCGACTCGTGTGCGGCGTGAGAGAGCAGAGGCAACACGCAGCACGCAGCAGGCAGAGATAGAAGGGCAGCAGGCAGAGATAGAAGGGCAGTGCGGGGCGGTGGCAACTGACTGCAGGAGAAGGCAGCGGCGTCGTCGGCGAGTTTGCCAAAGAGCTTGTGGAAGGGCATGTCGTCGTACAGGCCGTCGTCCGCCATGTAGTCCACGTCCTGGGGCAGGGGGAGGGGGAGGGGGGCAGGCGTGGATGCGCAAAGAGACAGGGAGGAGGGATCGGCGCACTGGCGTGGCTTGGCATAGGCTCTCATGCGTAGCCAGCGTCCGCCATCCAGAGCGGCAGCGGAAGCAAGGCAGTGCGAGAGTGAGAGAGTGAGCGAGTGAGTGACTGAGGGAGAGAGGGATTGAGAGAGTGAGTGAGTGCCCGCGTGAGTGAGGGAGAGAAAGAGAGAGTGAGTGCAGGTGCGTACCTGGTGCATGTCGAGGTACCACGAGATGCTTTCCCTGAGCGCCTCCACGTCCTCGGGGGCGATCTCCTCGTTCTCCAGCAGCCGCAGCACCTGCACTTCACCCCCGCCCCACCCCACCCACCGCCCACCACACCCGCCCGTCAACCACCCGTCACCCGCCCGTCAGCGGCTCCTCAGCCTTACACGTGGGCATCTTGAAAGATTTGTGCATTAGCGTTTCACAGCACTCACCTGATCAAGCTTGGTCTTGTGCCAGCCATGCTGCAGGGAAGCGAAAACGGGGCAAAGGGAGGGGAGTAGATCCATCAGCCCTGGTCATTGTGGGATCGAAGCAAGAATGAACGCCAAGCACGGATGAAGGTGAGAAGCAGGAGATGGCAGAGCGTGCTGCCGAAAAAACGCCCCGTCTTGCCTTGCTGACGTGCCCCTCCAGCTCCACCACCTTGGCGTTCAGCTTCTTGCCCGACTTGCCACCTGCCAGCCGTACAGAAGCAGCTTAAAACGAGGATGACGGGACACGGCGAAAGCAGAGAGAATGCTGCGGGTGGGAGCGCGGCACAGCACCTGGTATGGTCTCGATCTCCGCCTCGTACTCATCGATCTGCACCTGCAGCGAATCCATGGCCTGATGCACACATCGGAATAGCGCACATCGTCAGTCCAACCCGAAACCATGTCCCCTGCTTGAAACATGTGCCCTTAGATCCAGACGACTGGTCTGGATCTGGGACGAAACAAGCGAGCACGCAAAACAAGCAAGCACGCCAAGCAGGCAGCAGGTCACCTTCTTGAGGAATGCAGCTGCCTCCACTTTGGCCTTCTCCGATGGGTCCTTCCGAGGCTGCCCACACGCACCACCCAATCAACCACCACGCTTAGCCATGAGACCTGCACACACCGTCAAGCTGATCTGAACAACGCTGCATCACCATCACCATCACCCTCACCCCCCCCCCCCCCCCCCCCCCCCCCCCCCCCCCTGGCACCTGCAGCACGAGGCCCTCCTTGGAGAAGGCTTTGATCTTGCTGGCCTTCTCGCACTGCTTGAACCGCTCCATCTCCACCTCGATCTGCCGCCGCGCCGCCTCCAGCTCCTCCACGTGCGCCTTCGCCTCGCTCGTCGACAGCCACGACCGGATCTGGTCGCGCACGCTGCACACGCCGCGCGCACAGGCGCCATGGGGAGGAACAAACTCGGACATGCGCCGCAAGTAACGCGGCAGGGCTTTGGAGACCAATCCGAGCTTTACTGGTGACGTGAAACGAGCCTGAAGTGAAACGAGCCTGAAGTGAAACGAGCCTGAAGTGACGGACCTGACTCTAGGAAGTTGGGCGGGGCGGTTGTGCGACGTGCGTACCGTTGGAGTCGCTTGAGCTCCTTCTTCAGCTCGCCCTCGAACTTCTCCTTCTTCGCCGCCTGCCACACGCACACCGCACACCGCACACCGCACAAAAAGCTTCCCACTCGTCATTCATCCGTACCCACCCCTCCCGCCAAAACTCTCTGATTCCTAGTCGCTCTGCGCGGCGGGGCGATTCGCCAGCGGGGCGTACATCGGTGGCCTCGTCCATCTTGTGCCACGTGGCCTGGAACTCGTCGATGCCCTCCTGCACGCGCTTCAGCGTGCGCTCCATCTCCAGGTGCATCTTCCGCGACGCCGCCATCGCGCCCGCCGCCGGGGGGTATCAGCCGCGATGGAGGCGGCCTTGGAGGGGTTTCTTTCACGGATCCAACGCGGACCAGCCCGCTGAGACCTCCGCCTCGATTACCAGCGCTTTAAAACGGCGCGAACGGTGCGAGCGGTGCGAACGGGACAGACGGGACGAGAGGGAGAGCAGAAGGCTAGCGACGGGTCGAGATAAACCTCCAGGCTGTCTCCCCCCCTTAACGCCCTCCTGTGCGCCCGCCCGTGCGCCTTCCTGTGTTTCCCCCCGTGTGCCCTCCAGCGAGTGCGAGAGGCTGGCCGCCATCCCTCGGTGGCGGGCTCGGCGGGATGCGCTACTACCTCCTCAGTACGAGAGGGAAGGGAGAGGCGCGGAACAGTCCCAAGGTGACCCCAGAGCACTCCACGCGACGGCCACCTGCGCACTCGCTGCACTGCTATCATCATTTTGCAGGGCGTTTTTGAGAACTCTCAAAAACACTCTGCAATCCCAAGGCCACTCCACTCCGCACTGCACCGCTCGGCGCGCCACTGCCAGTCAGTCGCTCGGGAGTGACCGAGGTGAGATCCAGCTCCTCCCGCTTCAAGCGAAGAGCATGGCAGGAGGGCAGAGAGGCTATGCTGGAATGAAGCTCAGCTCTGCGGCGCACACTCCTGCCTTGCCACCTCGAATTCGCTCGCTGCGACGCATGCAGCGTGCCATGTGGCCGGCGCACCGCAGGCTGGTGTCGCTGAATGGAAATTTCTGTTTGGAAAATTACAGGATTTCGAGTTACGAATGCGGAGTGTACTCAGGAAGAATGAGTAGATGTAGAAATTCTGCAAGATTTATGAACAAGACAAATCATGCACTAAGCAAATACTACAACTTACAGTTGTGGTTCACAGACAAAGGAATAATGTAAAAGACGGACCTTACGACCCTAAATCATACCACAGAAGGAATTATTGGTATCAACCCATGGATGAAACAACTCAGTACCAGCTCCCCGGACCCCGGCAACTGAGTAGCAAATCCTTCAAGTGAAGACCTCACTGGAACCAGGTCAGGCTGACATCATTTCCAGGAGGTGGTCAGGCCGACGGCCTTCCCCATCCTCCTTTCCCGCCTGAGCTTCTAGAAGCAGCTCCTGCAGCAGAGATCCGTAGTCCACCCCACCCCCATCAGCCGGCTGCAGCTGTAGCTGCTGCTGCTGCTGCAGCTGCTGGTGGTGCTGCTGGTGCTGCTGGTGCTGGTGCTGGTGCTGAGAGAGTTTCAAGGCCTCTGCATGCAAGTGCATCTCCTTGTGCATGCGAGCGTGCTGCTGCTGGCTCTGCTGGTGCTGCAGAAACATGAGCTGCCCCGAGGACAGAAACGCCCCCGCATCCTCCAGGGGCGTGCGGCCTCGCTCCACCTTCACCTGCTGCTGCAGCTGCAGCTGCAGCTGCAGCCGAAACTCCTGCTCCTGCTGCTGCAGCAGCAGCAGCTCCCTCTCCTGAAACGCAGCCATTCCTGTATCCCCTGCAGCGGCACCCCCCTTGCACACTTTCACATCACCCAACGGCCCTGCTGGCACTGGTGCAGCGCTGGCAGCACCAGGATCAGCGCAGGCGAAGGCGTCTTTGGGCTTGGGGGGGGTCCCTGAGAGCATGTCCGCCACGCCCGGCACGTCCTTGAGCGACTCCAAGTAGCTCTGCCGCACCACCGACAGGTTGAACGCCTCACACGCAGCTGCAGCAGCTGCAGCAGCAGCAGGGCCGCCAGTACCGCCAGCAGCAGCAGCGATAGTGGGGGAAGCGGAGCGCATGGAGCCTGCAGAGTGCCCGATCATGGACCCTCTGACATCCGCGGCGGACGTGGAGAGACCCCCCAACAGCCCTGCAGCGAGGGCTCCTCCAGAGTCAGGAGCGCTCGGGCCTGTCCACATGCCAGCACCGGCGGAGCTCCTCCATGCCTCTGCGCCAGCGCTTCTACGACTCACCCCCTCCCCAGCAGCAGCAGCGGCGGATAGGGCAGCGGAATCCATGGCCCCGTCAGCCGCCATACTCGCAGGGAACGCGGCGTTGTGGAAGGCGGCGGGGTCGGCGCCCACCGGCTGCGAGATCCAGTCGAACAGCCCGTCCACTGACGTCGGGAACCCACACGTGCCCACACCGCCGCCGCTCGCTGCCGCGGCCAGCTCTGAGGGGTCAGCCTGTTGGTGGTGCTCCTGCTGCTGCTTGGCGTGCAGCTGGGCCTGCAGGCCGCCGACCACGGCGCTGAGAGCAGCGGCGTCGGGCAGAAACGCAGCACGAGTTTCATTCCGGGCGACAGCGGTGGGCGACGCGGAGTGAAGTAAGGACGACTGCGGGGGCGAGGGCACAGGCGGGAGCCCCAGCGCCTTCATCAGCTGGCGCACTGATGCAGCAGAGCTGCCAAGGGGAGGAGTTCTGGACCCCGTGCCCGAGCCACCTCCAGCTGCCGAGGCATGCCCGTGGCTGCGTCGCAGCTTCGCCAACAGGCTCGGCACGGTGTGGTTCGGCAGGGAGTGGTGCTTGCGCAGGGAGGCGTGCTGGAGTGGGCTGCTGCTGCGCCGCTGGCTGTGGGCGGAGGGGCCCGCGGGGGGCAGCGGGAAGGGCACAGCGGGCTCTGGAACGGGCGGGGGGGGAGCGGTGGCGTCAAGGCCGAGCATGTTGCACAGGCTGCTGCGGGGACGAGTGGGGGAAGGCGAGAGGGAGAGGGGGGGGGGACACAGGCACGCGCAGGGAGAGGAAGGTGAGAGGTGACGCGGCAATACAGGGACGACGGACAGGAAACCGTCGACGGTGGAAGGGAAGAGGGCAAAGACTACGAATAGCGGACCACGGGAGGGGAGAGCATTTCCCCCTGCGACTGTCGCTTACCGCATGTCAGCGGACGGCAGGGTCCTGCAGCTCGAGCGGGAGGGGCCATCCGCCGCCATTCCGGGGGGGCGATTCCTATACGCGCTCGCGGAGCGAGGGATGGGGGACGCGCACAATCCGCTCCCCGGGTATCTCCCCTCCAGGCGCCGCAGCGCCGATACCGCCGACGTCGATGTGGAGGCGGACAGAGCCGTCGCCGCCGCCGTCGCAGCCGCCGTCGCAACCATTCCTGCGACGTCCATGTCGACGTCGCCAGCCCCAGTCGTCGTAGTGCTCCCCCCAGGGGTGCCAGTCGCAGACCCCCCGCCCGTCGACTTGCCATCCAACGACATCGCGCGAGGCAACCCCGCGCCGTCCGCGGCGGAGCCCAGAGACGCGCCATGGAGGCGCTGCGATTGCGGGGAAACGTCCGCGCGGAGCGGCGGCCGGCCCGCGGAGACAAACCGACGGAGGCGCTTGAGGTCGGAATGAGCGCCGACAGTCGCGGACGCCGCAGCGCCGGCCGCCGTGAGTCGGCCGCCGTCCGACAGCGCCCGCTTGTGGCTGAGCCCCGCCGTCTCCCACTCGATCCCCGCCAGCCCTCCGCCCGACGCTCCCGTCGCCGACGCTGCTCCCCTCGCGATGCTGTCGAACAGCGACGACGGCCGCAGCACCTCCGCGGAGCCCGCATGCTCTCCGTCCGCGTCGTCGTCGGGGGCGCACGGGCCCAGGGTGGTGCTTCCGCACCCGCCGCTGCCGCGCCCGGTTCCGCTGCAAGTCGCGGACGCCACGCCGGGGCCCTCCTGTTCCGCCTTCGGCTGGTCGCTGGCGCTCTGCAAGGCGGCGCTTCCACTTGCAGCGTCGGCTGGGGCGGAAGCAGCGCGATCGGCGGAAGAGCCGGCGGCTGCGCCGCCACCGGCTGCCGCCACAGAGGGCGCAGTTGCGCCGACGGCTGGGGGTAGGGGAAGGGGAAAGGAGGCGGTGCCGACTTGCGCCATGACGCCGCGAGTGGGGGCAGAGCCGGCGCGGTGGTTGGGGGATGGCCCGGGGGCGGAGGAGTTGGGGGGCTTGGGGACGTCCGCCCACGACGGAGCCGCGGGAGACATGGCTGGATCCGCGGACGGGGAGAGCTCAAGAAACTTCCTGCGAGGCCGAGGGAGGGAGGGAGTGCGGGAGGGGGGAAGACGGGGGGAGAGAAGAAGGGAGCGACGCGGCAACGAGAGGAGGATGCGAGGGTGAGGTGGCGGAAGAAAAAAAGGCAACAAGACAAAGCGCGGCGAACATAGAGAGGACGAGAAGACCCGACTAGGTAGTTACGTATACAGGGGAGGAAGCGGCTAGGAAACGGAGAGGTGGGGTGACGAGGACGCGCACTTCTTGAGGAGAATAAAGCGGTTGCAGCACGCCTTGTTGTCGCGGTACGGCAGCAAGCCGCTGCTCTTGAGCAGGCCCCAGTTGGTGGTGCCGTGCGCCGTGACGTGCGCCAGCAGAATGGCGTCCTCCTGCACGCCGCGCAACCACAACGCGCGCCGCGCACACAAGCAGCGGGGAGCGCGGGGGGAGGGGGAAGCACATGAGGCCGACGAGCGACGAGGGCAAAATAGCGTGCAGTGCGGAGTAGTGGGGTAGCGGGAGGGACTCTAGAGTATGGAATAGCGGAGAACAGAGTAGCCGGAGTGAGCGGGCATCTTACCTCCGACGTCCATCGGCTCAAGTATTTGCCACCGGGCGGGCGAGCCTGGCTGGGATCTAGTGCCCGTTGCGGCTTCGACTCCAGCAGGTGGCTCTGGCGCTGCTGCTGCTGCTCGTGATGCTGCTGCTGCTGCCGCTGGTTCTGCTGGTGCTGTTGGTGCTGCTGGAGCAAGCTGGCATTGCTGCCCGCCACGCCCTCGTGCTTATGCACCTGCTGCGGAAACTCGGAGCGGAGGTTGCGGGGCGGAAACTGCTGGTGCAGCTGGGACACGGTCAGCCCGCCGTAGTCCGCCATTAGCATGCGCGCGGCGCCGAATTCCATGTCTAGGTGCGCGGCCGCCATTGATGCAGGCATTATGGAGGAACGGGAATATGGGGGATCCATTGTGGCATGAAGATGGCTTGCGCGGAGTAGGGATGGAAGGCAGATGGAAAGACGTGCACGAAGCAAATGTAATCAAGTTGCTCTCGCAGACTACTTTGCCTTACGGCGGTCTAAAACTCCGGTGAAGCTGCGTGGGTCCAGGACGCAACGATGCCGCCCGTGGAAATGGGAACAAGCCGGGGGAAGCCGGAGAAGGCAGTGGCGCGAAGAGGAGTTAGGATGACAGTAGACAGTGGAGCAGCGCAGGGTGAAACGAGACAAGAAGGCTGGCATAACTAGCAGCCCGTTGGTAGTTTCGGCTGCACAGCAGCGCAGCAGTCACCCTTGATGGTGGCGGTGGTGGTGGCTGGCGGAGAGCGATTATTCCCTTCCAGGGGCGGGGGGGAGGGATGGGGTTGGGGGGAGTTGCCTTTGGCGGGAGGAGAGGAGACAAGGGAATGGGAACAGGTTCACAGGGGAGAGGCCCTTTCCCTTCCCCTCGTTCCCAGCCTAACATCTCCTCCCCTCTCCACCGCCTTACCCAGCCAGTCCTGAACACTAGGGCTAACTTATGGTTTTAGGCCACCCTTACAAATTTGGCCTCATCGGAGCCAAGCCCTTAATTTTCAGGGTTCGGATGAGCCCGACCCTTAGACGTGTGAGAGCCAGCTGGATCTCTCACACTAGACTGGCTGGAGGAGTTAGCGATTTCGCTAGGTGGGAAATGGGCTGGTGAATGATAGTTCCACATCCTTGCTACTTCAGTGCATGTGCATTCGGGCAGTCGAGCCATCAATCAAAATCTGAAGAGCTTGGCTAGGCACTACCCTTAATGTCCAGGGTTCAGGAAAATCGAACTCTGAATGTCCCGGGATGTGCTGGAAAATGCCCTTTATTCGACTCAAATTCAGGGCAGAAACCCTTGAAACATTAGCCCTACACTCCCTTGGAAAGGAGACGAAGGAACATGGAGAGATGTACTGTACGTGGACTGTTCAATGGTGTGGAAAGAGAGGGATTCCATTTCAACGGCCTCGATCGAGGATCTCGTGGACTGGACGAGAGGATTTGCGCGAGATTCCCTAGGGTTTTGGCCCGCTTTCTATTTCTCTGGATGGCATGAAGGCATTTCCCCCTGTCGGACTGCGTCATTTCCTCTGCTGGCAGTGATGGCAGCAGAGCACGACAGCCTGGACAAATCCGGATCCGTAATTGGCGCGTGAGACGAGATGAGCCGAGAATGGGACCATGATCACTGTTCGCATACGACAGGTCACGACGAGGGTCCTTTAGGAAGAGAACAAATGCAAATATCTGGGGGCCCACCACACCACACCTTATGGGCGGAAGTCACATTGTTCTGACCCAAAACAAAGCCGGACACTTTGTGTATTCTAAAACACACAAAAATTATCAAGAATAAGGGTTTTTCGCAGAAGTGTATGCTATGCCATTATGCCATACCCCGGGAATTATACCTAACCCCTCAATCCCACCCTGACGTCCATGCTGTCTTACACGCGGATTTGGGTCAGGCAGTGGGAGCAGAGTTCAGCTGCCAATGCAAGCCCGTTGGAGCGAGGTGATTGGAGCCGCAGCAGAATCATATGGAACGAATGTTCCATAAAGACAACATTCGATGACGACACAGCATCCCACAGCCAACTTATAGTAACGACTGTTCTGGAATGGTCTGCACTGTTGATCCAGTCCATCTAAAACGGCGTTGCACCAACCCTAGGAACTGAACTGAAGTCTAAGATAAAATATATTATACCATATTGTACATTGGATGGGAGAATGGTTTCGGGAGGGGCGTGAACGAGGTCAGAATACGCAGCCGGTCCTTTTAATTTCTATGCATGTGACATCATGGTGACCGTGCTAAGAATTCCAAACACCAGCACAAGGAGCAGTTGCAGTAGTACCTGCAGCAAAAGGGTCGTTGCTGCTATCTCATGTCTAGTAGTAATTAATCTTTTCAACCAACACGTTTCCAGATCTATGGGCCACTCTGGTCATATTTGCCTGCCTATCCGCCCTTCTCCTCGCTTCCCTCCCTCCCATCACCCTCATTGCTTTTGCTCAATGCTTCATCCACACCCCCTCCACTGCCCCCTTGCCTCTCCTGCCCGCACTCCCCAGCGCCTTGTGTGCTTTGGGTCCACTCAACACCTTCCCCAGCGTCTCCACTCCTCCCCTCTCCTCCTACGCCCCCTGCACTCGTTCCTTCCGCACCCAGCCCTTGACTTGACTCCCCACCACTGCCCTCCCGTTGCACTACAACACTTGCGTGCTTTGTTTGGCCCGCACCTGCTCCCTTCTCTGAAGACAAGGTGCCCTTAGCAGTTGCTTCTGCCGCTGCTGAAGCAGCAGCAACAACTCCAGCCTTGTTCTCACACTCCCCATCAGCACCAGCACCTGCATCAGCAGCAGTAGCATCACCATCAGCAGTAGCATGGCCTGCAGTGGGGGCGTTAGATGTGACTGCCCCTCCTTCGCTCTCTTCTCCACCTGCTGCCTCCATCTCTCCACCCTCTCCTGCTACCCTCCCCATCCCCTCACCACCTACCGCCCCCGCCCCTGACCCCTCTCTCTCGCTCTCCCCAAATCCTCCCCACTCCCCACATGCACCTGCCCCTACAACCTGCCCCTCGCTTGCACTCATGCCCCCACCACCTACTCCTCTATCCTCTGCGCTCTGCCTGGCCTCTGCACCATGCCCCCCTCCCCCTTGCTCCCCTCCCATTCCCCCTCCTCCCACTTGCCCATCCCCCACCTGGTGCCCCCCTTTGGCACCGTCTCCTGCCCTTCCCTCTGACCCCTCCGCCTGTGAGCAGCCCTCTTGTCGACTGCACCATGTCTCCCCCCCCCCACTTGTCGTGCTGCCATCACTGCCCTCCTTGCTCCCACTGCCTTCCGCCCCGTCTCCCACGTGCCTCACTCCTCTCTCCTCCTCCCCCTCCTGTGCCCCTCTCTTCTTCCCACCACTGCTACTTGCCAAGTCGCCCCCTCCCCTCAAGTCCTCTCTCCCTCTCGCGTCTCCTCCCGTTCCCCTTCCCTCCCCTCCCTTCCCTCTCCCCTCCACCCCCCTCCCTCTCCCCTCCACCCCCCTCCCTCTCCCCTCCCCTCCTCTCCCTCTCCCCTCCACCCCTCTTCCTCTCCCCCTCCCATTCACTCCTCTCCCTCTCCCCTCCACCCCTCTCCCCCTCCCCTCCCCTCTACCCCTCCCATCCGCCCTCCCTCTCCCGTCCCCCCTGCCCCTCCCCCTGTCCTTCCCCCCTCTACCATCCGCACCAACGGGCGGAATGTGCCCCCCTGAGGTGAGCCAGAGGCGCCACGAGGCCTCCTCCCCGGGCTGCAGGTTGGTGAGGCCTGGCGGGCGCGAGATGTAGCTCAGCCCCACCAGCAGCTCCACCAGACACACCTCAAACCGGTCCTTGTCCGCGTAGTACAGCGTCTGGGGGGGCTCGGAGGGGGGGTAGGAGGGAGGTAGAATGGCGAGGCGAGGGGGGGTAGAGGGGCAGTAAAATGGTGAAGGAAGGAAGGGGGACGGGATTGAGCTTGACAGCATGCAGCACGGCACACCAAAGTGACGGCCAAACCAGCCCACCCACCCTGCTAAGCAGCTCCCTCACCGCCCAACCCCCTCCCTCCCCCCCCTCGTCCCCTCCCTTCCCCCACCTGCACTTGCAGCGTGCGGTGGCGCTTGCTGAGGTGGCAACCGTAGCTGTGCTCGGTCTGCCAGGTGATGGTGCAGTGCGCCATGGGCAGCAGCCATCCCAGCATGTACTCCAGCGTGCGCCGGATCTCCGCCGCCGCCTCGATGTCAAACGGCCGCGACCGCTGCTTCAGCCGCACGCGCACCTGCTGCTGCACATTGGCTGGCAGCCGCCGGTACAGATCGTCTCTGTGGTGGGGGGGGGGGAGGGAGGGGAGAGGATGGGGGAGGGGGGATGAAGAAGGGGAGAGGGGGGGAGGGGAATTTTGAGTTGCCTTAGAAATCGGCGCATGGCCGTTGCTGGTACAGGTCCTCCCTGCGGTGGGGGGGGGGGGGAAAGGGAGGGGGCGGGTGGGGGGGGAGGAATGGGGGAGAGCGGGGACAGAACACTGGAGGTTGGGAGGGCTGTAGCGACATGCACCCATGCATGCATATGTATACAGACACAGGCACACACAGGAAAAGGCACACATATGCACACAACTGCCTGCATGCCTGTGAGCGCAGCCACTGACCTCTGCGCCCTGAGCAGTGCAGTAGGCTTGCTGACGATGCGCTCCACGAGCAGCAGCGTGTGCGCGTAGTGCAGCGCCAGCCCGCACTCACCCAGCGTGTGCGCGATCGCCCCCGCATCCACCTCCGGGGACCCAAACAGCAGGCGCAGACGGCGCGAGAGAATCACCACTGCTGCTGCCAGCAGCTGGCGCACGGGACGGGGGGAGGGGTGGGGAGGAGGGGGGGAGGGGAGGGGGAGGAGCGGGGGAGGGGAGCAAGCAGGAAAAGGAACACGGGGCGTGGGGAAGGGAGGGAGGTAAGCGGGAGAGGGAAGAGGGTGGGGAAGAAGGAGGAGAAGAGATGGCAAGTGGGGGAGGAAAGAGCGGGTGAACAGCACATGGAGGGAAGCAGGGTTGGTGGCAAGGTGGAGGGTTCCCCGAACGCAATGGCAGCAAGGGCGGGACAGGGCAGTAACAGGAGCGCATATCAGATCATATCGGAGCAGAGCAGGTCAGAAAATATCAAACCAGAGCAAATCAGATCATATCATATCATATCAGATCAGATCATATCATATGAGACCAGAGCAGATTAGATTAGATGAGAGCAGAGCATACCAGGACGGATTTGTCAAAGTCTTCGCACCACAGCGACTCCTTCTGTAGGCGCTCCACTAGCTTCATCTGTGTGGACGCATTGGGGCATGGGGGCATGGTGGCATGGGGTCATGGTGGCATGGGGGCGTGGGGGCATGGGGGCATGGGGGCATGGGGGCATGGATGGCATGGGGACTAAGTTGGAAAAAACGCTCACTTTTGATTGCGTATTGCGTTTAAACGCATAGAAAATACGTACGCTGCGTTTTTTGTCTAGATACGCCGAAATACGCACGGGTTGACCGGAAAAAAAAAACCAATAATTTGCAACATTTTGCGACTTGGCGAAAAAAATTATCGCCTTCGCACATCGCGTAGACTCAACTTCGAGTTCAAATTTCAAACCCTAACCCCGCCAACCCCCCATTCGAACCTCTGTCCACCCCTCTCCACCTCGTCACTTCCCAATCCCTCCCAGCTCCTCCTCGAGACGAGTTGGCCTCATACAGAGTCAGCTCTCCTAGCATAAATTACTGCCATTTCAACATTCGATACTCATTCTCGCAGTTCCCTTTCTACCGTAGCTTGCGCGCCACCATGACTTCCAGCCCTACAGCATCACCCTCTCCCCCATCTGCTGAGGCAATCCGTACTTCCACCTGCCCGGAAAAAAAAATCCCCTGCCCGGGCCACCGTATTCTGTGCGTACCCGACCCCCTCCTCCTAAGCGTATTGCGTATATACGCTCTCGTATAGACGCTTTCGTATAAAACGCGATACGCGTATATTCCAATTTAGCATGGGGGCATGGGGGCATGGTGGCATGGGGGCATGGATGGCACGGATGGCATGGAATGGGGTGGCCGTGGCAGTGCATGGGCAATAGCACATCACAAAACAGCAGAATGCATCATGGCTCACGGCAAGCCACCTGCTCTCAGGGTAGATCCGTGCCACCCACCCTATCCCCTCCATCACCGTCCCCGCCCACATGCCCTCTCCCGTATCTCCTCTACCGTCATCTCCCCCGCCGCTCACCTGCCCCTGCATCCCACCCGCCCCTGCATCCCACCTGCCCCTGCATCCCACCTGCCCCTGAATCCTGTCCTGGGTGAGCGCGCCCGCCCCCAGGCTGTTGGATCGCGCCACCCCCTCGCGCACCATGCGCGACAGCCGCAGGGGGTGCGAGCTGTAGGTGCAGGGGGGTGCAGGGGGTAAACAGGGGAAAACATCTGTATGGGCATAGCATGGGATGGGATGGGATGGGATGGGATGGGATGGGATGGGATTGGATGGGATGGGATGGGATGAGATTGGATGGGATGGGATGGGATGGGATTGGATGGGATTGGATGGGATGGGATGGGATGGGATGGGATGGGATGGGATGGGATGGGATGGGATTGGATGGGATGGGATGGGTTGGGTTGGGTTGGGTTGGATTGGATTGGCGGCACCAAGGGATGGGGAAATGCGTGTGGGTGCGAGCTGTGGGTGGAATGGGGGTGGCTACGGGCATCCAGGGGCATGGGCGGAGGACGCATGGGAGGGGACGCATGGGGAAGGGTGGCAATGGGGCGATGGGGGAGGGAGGACGTGAGGGAGGAGAGGGGTTGGGGGATGGGAGGTGATAAGAGGGGGTGAATGGAGGCCCGGGAAAGGCTGGGACAAGCAGCATGTGGGGCTGGGACAAGCAGCATGTGGGGCTGGGACAAGCAGCATGTGGGGCTGAGACAAGCAGCATGTGGGGCTGAGACACAGTGGGAGAGGGTGGGAAGGTAGGTAGGAGAGGGAGATTGGGGGAGAGAGGTGAGAGGAAGGCGGGGGAAATATGGGAGGTGTGGGCGGGGGGAGCAAGGGGCGTGGCTTGCCTTGGCAGGAGGTTGTCAAGCGTTGTCATCTCAAGATGCAGCGTGCTGGTCGCCGCTACCATCTCCTCCAAATACCTGCCATGTGCCGTGCCATGTGTCATGCCATGTGCCATGCCATGTGTCATGCCATGTGTCATGCCATGTGTCATGGCACAGGGCGCCCGGCACAGAAGAGGGTGGTTGTGGATGGAGGAAACAGACAGAGAGGCGGGTAGTGGGCACTGGGCATGTGAGGGGGTGCGTGGGAATAAGGCAGCGTGCAGAGCACACAGCACAGTGCAGGAAATGCCAGCGCAGGGAGAGGACGACGAGGTAGCAGGAGATGAGTGGAGGAGGAGGAGGAGGAGGAGGAGGAGGAGGAGGAGGAGGAGGAGGAGGAGGAGGAGGAGGAGGAGGAGGAGGAGGAGGAGGAGGAGGAGGAGGAGGAGGAGGAGGAGGAGGAGGAGGAGGAGAGAAAGAGGCAACGAGACTTGGAAGCGGTAGGCGTTTGCGGAGGGAGAGAAGCGGCAGCACTGACTTGAGCAGAAAGGCCTCCTCTTTGGGGTGGAAGAGCAGTGCGTGCGGCCCGGCGCTCTGTGCTTGCAGGTCTTCCAGGCGCTGTGCGAGCCCGTGCAGGCGCGTGTCGCGGCACCGCCGGCCCAGCAGGCACACTATTCGCGACAGCACGCGCAGCTCCCGCGCCCGCTCTAAGCCTGCGGGGGATAGGTGCGGCGAGGCAGGCAGGCCAAGGGGAGAGCGGGGGTGGGGGGGGGGGTAGAGCGGGCAAGGAAGGGAGGAGGCCGGAGAAAGGGGTGGCGCAAAAAGGGGGGGGGAATGAGGGGGGCCAGGTTTGAGGCAGTGAAGGAGATGATAGAAGAGTAGAGAGGTGGTGATGAGTTGAGACCGGTGTGTGAAAGGGAAGTAACTACTGGGATGCTGGCTAAAGGAGCATGGTGGGTGTGGGAATGAGCATAGTTGGGTGTGGGAAAAGATCATAGTATGGTGACGACCTGCTAGCTTCCATCTGAGATCGTCATCTCCCGCTACCAGCTTCACCACTCCCTCTGCCTGCTCCACACACACACACACACACACACACACACACACACACACACACACACACACACACACACACGCACACACACACACATGCACACACGCATGCACACACGCATGCACACACGCATGCACACGCGCGCATGCACACACACACACCCGCACACATACACACACATGCACACACACACACGCACACACTCACAGACGCATGCAGGCACACACACGCACGCACGCATGCACGCACACACACTCACACACACACACACGCACATGCACACCCACACCCACACCACACACATACACGCATATACAAAGGGAGGCATGGCAGCACAGATCTCTTCGACAGCGTGTGAGAGTGGCAAGTCCAGCTCTCGCGCAAAGGACGAATGACCTCCACCCACCCGCGACACACCTCCTGAACCGACCAGCTACAGCCACTGCCACTCTCTGCCCCATCCGCCCGTCATAGCCCCTCCCGCATTCCCAATCCTCCCCTTCCCCCAAACCTGACATCCCCACCCCCAAACCTAATGTCCCATCTACAAACCTGAATCCCAACCTTTCTCCCTCCCCCCCTCCCCCTCCCCCTCCCCGTGTTCCCCCCCGTGCGTACGGCGAGGGTGTGTTTGAGCGGGCCCATGTGGCGGATGTCCAGCAGCTCCCACAGCTCCAATGCGCGCAGCATTGCCGCCGCCACCTCAAACGCCAGAATCCCCATCCCGCCCTCGCTCCCCCCCTTCCCCTTGCCTCCCTCCCTCCCGCTCCCGCTCCCGCCCCCGCTGCTGCTGCCACTCTTCCCGCTCGCCTCGTCCCCTGCTGCGCTGCCCCCGCCGTTGCTGCCGCTTCCACCGCCGTCCGCGCTGCCGGTAGCGTGATTGACGACAGCAGCCGCGGCCGACGCAGCAGACGCCCAGAATTTCCCGCCCGTTGCCGCTCCCCCCTCCGCCTTGCTCGCTCCCCCGACCCCAAACACCCCCCCGCTGATAAGCCCGATTCCGCCCAGCGCCCCTGCGCCCAAAGCGCCTCCCCACACTCCCCCCAGTCCGCCTCCGCCGATCCCGTTGACCCATCTCCCTCCACCGCGGCCTCCGCCGTCGGGCGTTCCGCCAGCGGCGCTGCTGGTCCAGCCGGAGGCGGAAGAGCTGCGGGAGCGGGCAAGGGTGGCGAGAGAGGCGGAGAGAGAGGAGAGCGCGGGCACGGGAGGGACGGACGCAGCTGCTGCCGCCGCTGCTTGCGCCGCCGCTGCAGCAGCGCCGCTGAGGATGTCGGCTGGGGGAGGGAGGAGCGGCGAATGGGCGGGATGCTGCTGCGAGCTCTGCTGCTGCTGCTGCCCGTTCTCGTCGGGCAGCTTGGGAAATATTTTGTCTGCCATGGAATTGACGATGCTGGCCTGGTTTCCCATCGCTCCAGCGGTGGCTTGACGAAAAATGGCGAACGACGACGAAGCCAGCGAGTATGTCACCAGGATGGCACCAGGATAGGATGATGTAGACACGCTCCGGCGAGAAAGTTACGGTGGTCCAGCGAGTCGCTGACTCTAAGCTGATTGGGCACGAGGTGACACGTGGCGTGTGCGGTAGCGTGTGCGATGGCGTGCGTGGTGGCGTGCGTGGTGGCGTGGTGTGTTCCAACTAACACGAGTGCGGAGTCCGGTTGTTGTCGGGATACTACGAAGCAAAACACCATCTGCTAACATCCTACGACACTCCAGCCTGATACGCCGGACACCTTCCAGCAACTCGCAAAATGCAGTCGTTTTTTACACATATCCGCTGATCGCGAAACTAGCCACGGGGGCGTACGGCATGGAATGCAGTGAGCGAATTGAGGTGGCGGTGAGGTGAGAGCAGGCGTGGAGGGGGAGGGCACACCCACAGCCACAGCAAACCACTGGCAGTGAGATGAGAGCTGCTGGACTCCGCCGATGCTTGAGCAGAAGTGGCGGAGGGGGAGGAGGATTTCACCTAGGTGCAGGGGGGAATAGGTCACGCCCGGGGGGGTGGCGGGGATGTGCGGCGCTCCAGACCTTGTCAGAGCTTCGAGACTCCCGCTTCCTAGTCTGATGGGGTGCTTTGCAATACCCCTCTAAGAGTCACTCGCCTCTCGCTTCTAGCTTCTCGCTGCTTCTGGAGAGCTTTTCCTAAAGAACAAGTGCAAACACTTCATCTTTAAAGTCTACCTTCAAGATTGCACATTCCCATGTTCACCCATTATAGCTACTGTAACACGATTGGTATAGATAAACCAAAGACGAAGAGTGGCAGTTTTATTAGTAAAATCTATATGCAATATGGTTGAGTTATATGGTGTATGGTGCAACTATACTTTGCATTATGCCTTGGCTTGGAAATACCTGTATGCTAAATCTGAAACTAGTGTGATAACAGGGGTCCCACAAGAATATTCGTATCAAACTTGTCGGGCTGAGAATAGCCCTAGGATCTTTTGCAGAAACTAGGTCCTTGAGTCGATAGAGTCAGGGTCCTAAATAGCAGCCTTTTTTTTGTCTGATTGTCTGATTTTCAAACAGGATTTTAGGGGTTTCTCTGATTTTTCAGACAAGGGCTTTCAAAAACTCTGATTGGACTAGACAAAAATTTAAGATTTCTCTGAAATTTCCAGACTAGGTGTACCAATTTCTCTTATTTTTAGACAAGTGTTTTGAGTTTCTTTGAAACAAAGATATACATGTGTATGGTGCTCCCACGCGAATATTCCCTGTTTCGCGTTCCCTGTATGGTGAAGATATACATTGTTCCCCCCTCCGCATCCTTGGCATTAGGCTCACACGTGAGCCTTCCCGAGCCTTCTGTGGCAACATCTGATGTGGCTAGAGCACCTGTGATTGGATACTTAACGGTTTTGCAGCAAAGCAGACCAGTCAGAGCCCTTTGCGGTGCCTTCCTTCGGTCTCCAGCGCACAGTGGGGATCAGACCCTGCCTCACCCCATGCAGTGAACTTGCTCTAGCATACGTGCACCGCTGTACATCATCCCGCCCATCACGACGCGTCGCCCCACCCCATCGTCTCGTCACTTGCCAGTCCGTGCCGCCATGGCACTTGACCAAGAAACCCCCTCCCCAACCGCTTCTTGCTCCCTTCGTCTCCACCTGTTTCTTCCACCCACACCTCTTACGTTATAGTGTTGTTGTCGTGCGTCATGTTATCGTGCTCGTATTCTGTTTTTCAGGTTTAGAATCCCCTCTCGAAGTAGGGCCAACATGGCTGTCGTTGTCGAGGCTGACGGCGACGATCAGCCAGAAGGGTGTAGCGAATCCCCGCCTCCCATGCGAGGCCTAGACTTCCTGCGTTTAAAGATGTCGCGCACCCCTGCTGCAGAATCCTCCCGTCGCCCAGCCGCTATCGACCCTATGCTTGTGCCTTCCTCAACCGATCCCTCGCCATGGCCCGTGTCACTAGCATCCCCTCCTTTGTCGCCTGCGCGTTCGTCTAGCCCGTCCTTGCCTCAGCCCTCGCAGTCGCCTGCACCATCGTCGGCGGTCCGCTGGAAAACCGATGCCGAAGCATCAGCTGGCTCCTCTGCCAAGAAGCGAAAGTATCGGCAGGCTTCTCTGCCGTGGTTCAAGGGCGCCACATCCAAGGCTCCTTACTCTGCACCGAGATCAACGCTCGGCCCGTCTACCGCGGAAGATATGGAGGAGGTTGATGATGCTGACGACTACAAGGAGGCCGCAGAAGCAGTAGAGCCGCTAAAGGTTGCTAAAGCATGTGAGGCAGAGCTGAAACACAAATTTGAAACCGAGTGGTCGAAGAAGTTTCTGTGGCTCGTCCTCACCAAGACCGATCTTGGTTGCCCGTCCATCAAGTGCAGCATCTGCACGGCACACCGGTCGGAGAACTGCAAGTACGGCAAAGGCGGACAGGACGGAGCGGACATCTAGGTGCATACGATGCATAAGCACCAGCGTACCAAGAAGCACCAGGTCGCTGTCGAGAAAAATGAGGCGAAGGAGAGGGCTGAGACGAAGCAGAAGCGCATCGAGGATTTCTTGAAGGGCAACGTCGAAGGCAGACGTATCATTCGGTTGTTGATGGTGATGTTATTCATTTGCAGAACTGACGCACCGATTTTGATGTATGTCGCTCTGGTGAACTTCATGGCCTTGCAGGGTATGCCGGACTTGGTCGAGAGCAACTACGGCACCTACCACACTGAGTAAGTTCTTTGGATTTCGCAAATCTCCCATTGTTCAAACCATTAGAGTCATCAAATGCTTCTCTTTGCTTGCCATGTGTTGCAGGCACGGATTCAGGCAGCTGAAAGAGTCAACGGCGACTTACCTTCGGTAAAAGCAGCTCGAGCACATCCAGAAGAGTCCTTTTCTCGGTGTCAGCGTTGACGAAAGTACCGATCGACAGCGCGGCAAGCACTTAATTGTTTACGTGACATTCGTGAAGAACGGCAGGGTTGTCACTGAGTTCTTTGCCTTACTCACTCTGCATAAGTGCGATGCTGGATCCCTCTTAGCCGTTTTGCAGACCCATCTCGAATCGACAGGTGTCGACATCAATAAGGTTTCAGGCATCAGTACGGATGGGGCCAGCGTCATGAGGGGGGATCGACAGGGCCTGGTCGTCCGCCTTCGGCAGCTCGTGCTGCACCTCGACTCTGCTCTCTGCATTGCTCACATGTGAGGCGTAGTGCAGCACCACTTCCTTGGCAGGTTTCCCGGCTTCGTCGACTAATTATGACTTATGTTTTGTGGTTTTGATGTATGATTTTCCGTGTTTGAGCAGGGAGGCGTTGGCAGCTAAGGACACTGCCAAGAAGTTTCCCGACTTCAACATGATCGACGACATCATCAGGATGCTGGCCAAGATCTTGGGACGTTCCTCAGTGTGGCACGATCGCTTCAGAGAGTTGCAGGAGATCCTGATGAAGACCTTCCTGGAGATGTAGTCTATCTTCGCCATCCGCTGGCTTTCACGCGCCGAGGCAATACTCCGCTTGGTCGCCGTTCTTCCCGCCGCCATCTTGCTGCTGCACGAGTACGACTGGGATTCGTACGAGATTGCAAGGGGCTACAAATTCCATTTCTGCCTCTTCTTCCTCGCCGACTTGCTGACAGAGCTCAACCGGATTAACAAGAAGTTTCAGTGTCGCCAGGTAACGTATACACTAATACTTTAGATCACGCACATGCATGTGCTATGCAGGTGCTATGCTATGCTAAACATGCCTTGGCTATGTGATTTCCTCGTGCTGCTTGCAGGTCGACATCATCAGGGTGGGAAGCATGGTGCAGAGCACCACCGAGGTGATTGGCGAACGGTACATCAACTACGGCTCTTCTTTCGGTGGCCCCAGAAGCAAGCACCTGCACAAGTTCGTGACATCCCATGAGCCTGAAGGTCGTGTGGTCATCGAGGGGGAGGTGAAGGATGGCGAGCCGGTCCGCCATGAGTACATCCTTTACACGAAGTCAATTTCGGACTCGGAGTTCAAGAGCGACAAGAAGTCCTACTTCGTGCTGTGCCGCGCCATGGCCCAAGAGAGGATCGACTGCAGCAAGTCCAGGTTCAGCGACCTGCAGCAGCTCGGAGGAACCAAGCTTTTCCTCTCAAGCGCCTATCCCACTGTGCAATCGGACCACAAGAAGAAGGCACTTCAGTGGCTGGCACTTCTAAAGAAGCTCTTCAACAACAAGCCCTTGCCTGGTAAGTTCTCTTGACCAGCATAGTTTTCCAAGTGCTTTTCTGGATTACCCTTCTAATGTTTACTCAGCGTGCCTGTCATCTGAGTGCGATGCCATGCGTTGTACCATGCCTTGCTGATTCTTCTCCCCTCCCCTTCTGTTGTACCTCCCCCTCCCCCTCCCAGGCATCAGCTGGAAACGCGCAAAGGCAGAGCTGACGTCATTCGTTAATATCATGGACGAACATCACTGGGAGGTGGCGTACCACGTCAGCCTGCGGCACATGCTGGGGACACGCGACTGGGAAGACGCCTATCCCAATCTTGTTAAGATTTGGGTGGCAACCGCCATGCTCCCGTTGAGCACGGTGGAGTGCGAGCGGGGATTTTCCCGCCAGAACGTCATTAAGCGCTGGTCTCGGGGCAACCACTGTGATGCCCGCTTGGGCGACCTTGTGTGCATCTCCCTCATGTAGGATTATGACATGCAGTGGGATAAGATCGTTGACATATGGAAGGCCGCCAAGCCAAGGTGGCCTAGCCAGAATGCAATTGCCCCCATTCTTGCCCCAATGTCCAGGAAGAATTAGAGCAAGGCCGAGGCAAAGAAGAGAAGGAAGATTGCTGAGCTCAAGGCTCAGATCAGGAAGTGGAAAGGGATGGCTGTGGTTGAGGAGGATGGGTTGGAGGAAGGAGAGGTGGAAGAGGAGGAGGAAGAGGAGGTAGAGGAGGAGGTGGCGGAACTTGATGATGACGAGTAGGTAAGTGTAGGGAATGACCATCTGCTTGCATGCTCGTTTGTAACTTGCAACTACTAACTGAATCAAAGTGCTAAACTGTATCTTCCATTGTCACACACAATAACAGACTATGGAGTAGGATTTCTCTGAACTTTCAGACAGTGGTTCTCGAATTCTCTGGAAATCTGAAAAGTTTTTCAAAATTATCTGATCCTGAAAAGCGCATCAGACAAAGTGCGCAGAACGCGTCTGATTGCTCATAAACGTTTTTTTCCAAAAGAGAACGCTGGATTGAGTGCTTGATAGCACACTGGAAGTTTGAGTTCAACCCTTGTACTATTATGTGAGAACAAGTAATTGATTAAACCAAAGGGATACAAGGTCTTATATAATAATACAAG